TCATTCCAATGGAAGTGGAAAAGAAGCACTCCTACTTTGTATCCTTCTTCCTTGTGCAGGTATTAAGAAATTGTAGAGGGAAGCGTTGGCTTTGTCTTGTTAAGATTGCATGAAGCAAATTCAGGAAAGTTCACAGTTTATTCACCTTTTGTAATTCAGACTCTCCAGGTAGCCTTCACTCCCCAAGGATTATTTTGTGCCTAAACACTGCATCTGATACCTGCAGCACTGTTTGTGTAATTGGCCTTTAAAGAAACAATTTCTTCTGAAATCTTTAGATTTCTTCTGATTCAGCTTCTGATCTCCTGTTAGTCTCTTCTGTGCAACACTGCTTAACAAAACATGCCTTGACTGCAAGCTTTGCCTTTCTGCAGTGCAGTACTCAGAATGCCACCTGCAGCAAACTGCTGCTTGGTGCTTTGGATGTGGTTTCAGGAAATGGAAGGTGGCACAGGATATGTGGTGGAAGCTTCTTGTGTCGGCCTCTGTGGAGGTCTTGTGCCCAGAGGAGAGATGCCTGAGCCTCAGCAGCAGAGAAGACAGTTCCATCCAGGTTCTGTTCGGCTGTGCCAGCAGCCGTGATGTAGCACAGGGCGACCACAGCACAGCCATGGGCACTGCTGGCACTGCTGCTCATGCCAGTGCGTCTGGCAGACAGACAGAGCAGGCTGATGTAGCGTGTCCTGTTCCAGGAGTGAGAGACATCTGTCATGTAAATCTGATACCAACACCAGCACTGTTTCAGCAAGGCATTTCAAACGCTGCTGCTGAGAATCCCTGAGATGCTGCGGATAAGCAGCTCCATCTCATCAGGCTGCAACATCAGAAATCTGGTGTGAAATCTTACGCTCCCACTGGTTTCTCTCGCTCCAAAACAAAGCACGATCACCTGCTAAATCCCATGGTTATAGTAGTGGCAACAGAAGAACACACAGGTCAGAGTGAGTGGGTCACTTGCTGAACGTATTTCTTGTCTGTCTCAGTTGAGGTTCAGTTATTTGCTGGGACAAAAAAACTCGCCTGCCCTCTAGGATCAGGGCGTTGGAAGGGCTTGCTCTGCTAAGAAAAAGCTTATTCCTTTTTCTCTCTCACGTAGCAATGATGCATCAGTGTGTACTGTGCTGCTGTTACCCCCCTCAGTCACACCTTTTCACCACCTTGGGCAGCATTTTCTGAGATTTAAGGGTAAGCTGGTTTGGAGCAGCCCGCTGGCTTGTGAAGCATGTTCCCCAGCATGGCAGCAGAGGTGCAGTCAAACTTGGCAGTGTGGGACTTCAGTCTTGGGCAGTGCCCGGATCTGCCTTTGAGGAGAGCCAGTGCCAGGAGCCTGCTGACAGCCCATCTAAGAAGGGGTAGTTTTATTTCTCCAGCTGTAACTAGCCAGTGAGGATTCCTATGGCCAGAACCGAGTGGAGAACTGCTGAGTCCTTAGAAACTGTCTTCTGCCTCTTGTGTCCTTCTGGAAAGCCCCAGGAGCACACGTAGCCTGCATGCTGTCACTGATGCAGCCATTCAGACAAGTGAGCCTTCCACTAAACCAGAGTCGGTGTAAGGGGAGCAGCAGTGCCTACTGTGTGTGGCTGCTGTGAGTCACATGAATGTTTACAACTGCCTTCTGTTAGGGTTCTTCAGCTTCCAAAAGGCCAATGATGGAGGAGCCGCTCTGGTCTCAGCTGTAGCTGGAGGCAGAACAAGACAGCTGCAGCTTGCAGGTGTCACTTGAGAGGGAACTGTGGTGACCTCAGTCCAGGGGTGAAGTGTAACACGTTGCCTGTGCTGTGCATTGCAGATACAGCAGGAGGAGACACTCCGGAAGCCCACAAAGGACCAGCAGTTTACAGTCCTTCTCGATACAGCTACCAGGTAAATTCTGCCATTTGTTATCTGCCCATTCAGAAGTAAAACTTTAGACAGCATTAGCAGGAAGGAAGCTGTGTTGAGCTGCCAGTTATTGCCAGTCCTGATGTACCAAGCAGCTAGAGTATGATGAGGTAGGACATAGGGAATTGTGTCTGATGTCTTTTCTTTTTTCTCCCACCAACATGTTCAGCTCCTGCAGTCTGACAGTCCGCAGGCAGAGTCGCAGACCCTTCTCCAGCAGAGCTCCTCCCCCTACAGAGGACACCTGACTCCTTCTCCCGGCTACAGCTACCGAGCGGCAGCACAGAGGACAGGACACAGCCTCTCCCACAGTTCCTCAGAAACGTCCCTCTCCTCTTCCTCGTACTCCAGCCCTGCCCACTTGGTCTCCACAGACTCCTCTGCCCTGTTTGCAGGGAATTCGGGGTATTACAGCAGCCAGCAGCACTCCGGCAGTGCCAGCAGCAGCCTCCTGAAGAAGAGCTGCCCAGCTGCTGCCAGCCCAGCACAGCAAATGGCTGTGGACTCTCTTTCCTCAGAGTCTGGCTCTCAGCCCTGCACAGGAGCGTCCAGCTCCACCTCAGCCCCCCAAAGCTCCAGGTCACTACAGTCAGACTTGCGGACTATCAGCCTTCCGAGCTCTGGGCAGTCAGTTCTCTACCAGGGCTCCCGGGGGGCGGTGATTTCCAGTGCACAACACTACCCACACCGAGGGGGCAGCAGCGTCCATCAGTACAGACTGCAGCAGATTCAAGGTTCTGGAGTAAAGACTCAAACAGGACTTTCCTAGGGCTGCTTGGACTCCAGGAGGAACAAAACTGCCCACAGCTCCTTCCGGTTACCGCTGGAAGTGGCTCCTGGGCCGGTGTTGGGAGGTCGCACCCGAGGCTGGGTGCCGGGGGTCAGAGGCTGAGGTCTGAATGCACGGGTGAGATTTGTGAGCAGTATTGGCCTCTGGCCTTGCATGAGAAAGCAGATTTCTCTGAGGCAGAGACTGTAGCAAAGCTGTTCCCTGATGTGTGAGTACATTGCAAAAGGAAAAAAAAAAAAAAAAAAAAAGAAAAGAAAACAAAAAAAAGCAAATGGTTCAAGTGCAATGACTGTGGTGCAGCCTCTGTCCCTTGTCCGTGCCCATGGCCATAGTCACTCATGCAGTACGGACGTCTTTTTTGATACAAATGCAGTTTAAAGAAATCATTGGGTAAGTTTAACTCCAATCCCAAAGCTCTCTTTATAGGTCAGGTTCTCAGCGCGTTCTGGGGAGGGCTTTAATCCGTTACGATCATTCCAGTCACAAGCAGATGAGTGCACACTGCTGCCTTGGGCCGGGCGACGGCTGCTGCAGTCAGAGCATTTCCAGGACGAGTCTCCACCAATGTGAACGAGCAGCAGGGAGCAGGGAGCGTGTTGTGCCCATTGCTGCAGAGGAGCTGGGAGTGCTGCCACGCGTGGGGCGCAGCGCTGCGAGGGGTGGAGGGGTCTGAGCGGTGCTGCAGACACGTGGGGGTCAGGGGCCCCGCCGGGCCGCGCAGTGGCGATGCTGTGGTGTGCTGGGGGCTGGCAGAGGGCTGAGCAGCTGCCAGGAGGGTCGCGGTGCTGGGCCGGGGCTGCGACGCGTGGGGGGACCTCAGTGTGCGGGTGGTGTGTGGATGGACGTCCCTCCCACCTGTCTGCCGAGCGGGGGGAGCCAGCCCGAGCACAGTGCGCTGTCTGCTCGATTCCATAAGATTGCCAGCTTCTTTCTCACTTGTTTACTGTAATATCGGGCGTGTTTTTATTTATCTAATTTTATATTCAGTTATAACCATAGTAGGTTAGCTAATATACGACAGGTGTCATCCCTGGTGCTGCAGTGGAACTTCTCCTTTCTCTTGGATAACATGATGCTGTGAGTCTGTCTCCCCTGTCTTTTCAGATGCACAGTCTTCTTTTTTTTTTTTGTTTCGTTTTGTTTTGTTTCTTTTTTAGGACTGTTACAGGTTTCTCTAATTCACAATTGAAATCAGGTGTTTGTTCAACCTAGGGGAGACTTTTAAAATATTGAATCAAAGAGTTAACTTTCTCACACTGTCTGGCTGTGAGCATGTTGGGATGGAACTTGTCACCCTGCAGTTGGGTGTCTGTATACTGTATAAAATTAGGTGTAAACTTCGCTCGGCTTAGCCCTGGGTGTGCAGCCTCCCCTTCCTTGCTACGAGCAGCACGGGGCAGGCAGGCTCTGCCCTGCAGGGCGGCAGGAGGGGGCCGGGGGAGCTCCGTGCCCAGGCACCGGCGCCTCTGGTCACAGCGGGGCAGGAGGGAGGGACCCTGGAAAGCTCTTGGAAAGGTGGGGGCTGTAGCTTCTTACTCTAGTGGAGTTTTTACACCGTGCTGTAACATTTGAACTTTCACAAGAGATGTAATAATTTTGATAATAAAAATACTTAACTCGAAAACCAGCGTTTCTGAAATTCCCTGCTTTTCCCACCGCCCTGAATGCTGTGCAGGTGTCTGTTGGCGCTCCCACCTGCCTGCCGCAGGGTGGCTGTGCGATGCGGCTCCTTCCCAACCCCGTGCTCTCCCCCGTGCCCGTATTTCAACCAAAGCCAGGTGCTGTGCTGCTCTGGGAAGCCCCAGTTGTTGAGGAGAGGGCAGTTCCCAGAGGTTCCTGGCTGTGAAAAGCGTTCTGTGCTGGGTAAGAGGACAAAAGCCGCGTTTGGGGAGGAGGCCGTCGGTGGAGGATTGTGCCAGCATTGCCTCCTTCAGAGCCCGTTTTAGGGCGTTAGTTCGGTGCTTTTCACCAGCGGTTTTCTGGTGCGCTGACGCCCAGTTTTACCGTGGCTTGCCTTTTCCTTAGGAAGCCTGAGCTGGGCCTGGAGTGAAGCCACACCTCGGCTGGGAAGCGCGAGGTGCCCAGCACCTCCAGCGCAGAAACAGTTCTTTGTCACCTGGCGGCACCGCAGCCAGCAGGCAGGACCTTCAGCCGAGTCCGACCTCTGCACAGCTCGGGCAGCAGCAAACCCTGCTTCTCGCCCTGGTGCCGACCCCGACCCCCAGCCCGGTGGGAAAGGCAGACCTTTCCCCGCCCGCCCCCCCCCCCCCCCCCCCGTTGTTGCAGCCGGCGCAGGTCCCGCTCCGCACCACACCACGGGGCTCAGAGCTCTTCTGGTTTGAATTATATTTTTCAATAAGGTTTTGTGAAACACCGTATCAAACTTTGTACTAAAATACAGATATATTACAGCTACTGTATTCCTTTCTCCACTGATTTTCTCGGTTTTCCAATTCAGCGATGGGCCGCGGGGCGATGGCGGGCGACGGCTGCCGGCAAGGAAGCGCCGATCCCCGCCGCATCCTGGGGTCCCCGGGCTGCCGCTCGGTGTCCCGGCACGGGTCGGTCCCTCACTGCCACCCCGCGGGGCCTCAGGGCGCGACTTACCGGCTCCGCCAGCCCCGGCAGCGGGTCCCGCACGGCCCTTCATCGCCTCATCCCCACAGCGATCGCCCACCTCCGCGTTCCCACCGGCGGCCCCGTTCCCGTCCTCGCCCTCCCGAAGCCCCACCCGCAGCCGGGTGCCCCTGCCAACGGCCCCCGGCTACCGGCACTGAGACGCGGCCGCTGCTGAGGACTTTATTGCATCGTGAGGGCTGCGGCGGGCGCCCGGGGAAGCCCACGAGCCGGTCTGGCCAGCAGAGCCGCGGCCGGGCTTCGGCTGCCCGTGCCCGAGTCCTTCGGCTGCCCCGTGCCGGTGAGCCGCAGCCGGGCACGCGGCCGGGACGGCGGTGCGAGCCGAGCCACGGGTGGGAGCCGCGTGGCGGGGAGAGCCTCGCTGTCACCAGTGGAGATAAAGCACCGTATGGGGATGGGGAGGTTTGGCAGCGGCTGGGGCTGGACGAGGGGGTTTCTTCCTGCACCCGCCCGGGGGGGTTTTATATTTCCGGCTGCTCCCACTTACCGGGGCTTTACATTCAGCGGTGGTGCGGATCGGGCGGCGCGGCAGCCGGCGGCAGCGAGGCCCTTGCGGTCCCCACGCTCGGGATGGAGCGAGCGGCAGCCTGCGGCCCCGGCAGCGCTGGAAAGCACGCGGTCCTGGGGCTGCGCTGCCGGGCGGGGGGGGGGGGGCGAGAGGGCTCGAGTCACTTTACCCTGTTTAGAGAATATTAATTTACATGTAAAAGTACGGGCGGGCCCCATCCCAGCCACAGGGCTCCCCGGCCATGGAGACAGGATCACGAAGCTGTACAAAATGGGAGCGGGGAGGGTGCTGGGGCCCGGAGCAGCCAGCGCAGGGCGTCACGGGGCGCGCTGGGGTGGGAGGTGGCGGTTCTGGAGTCCCGGGGATGTAGAAATCTGTTTAAAAACTTGGAGACTGTTTTTCGTTTTTTTTTCCCTTGAAACAAAACTGCCGCTCTCAGATGAAGCAGGTTTGGGGCATCCTCCCTCGACGGCGGCGGAGGTGCGGGGCCGGTGGGGTGCGTGGGATGGCGGTGTCAGTGTGGACGTGGGCACGGCAGGCGGCCGGCACGGCCCCGGTGCGGGCGGTGGGGCCCGGAGCGCCGCGTGGCCACCGGCAGCAGATGAAAGGCAGGACGGGGAGGGAGCGCCCAGGCTGCCGGCCGCGGGATGAGGTCCTGCTGCGGGTGCTCGGCCTTATATCCTCTGCAGGGAGAGCACAGCGCGTTGGGTACGGGCGCCCGAGGGCGGTAGGGTGGCCGCAGTCATTTGTGCCATGCACGTGCATGCCTCAAACCTGCCGCCCCCACTTATTTCCCATCCACATGGGGCCACCCAGCGCGGTCGCACCCAGACACGCCACGCAGGAGGAGGGGACGGGATGCTGAAACTCAGCACTTACCGCGGTGCCGACAAAATCTGTCAAAACATAAAGAGAAAGCGTCAGCGGTGCAGTGCCACTGTGGAGGGGCTCGGCCGCCCGCACCCTCCTGCCCCAGCCGGGTCACTGCTTGGGCTTGCCCCGTGTTTCGATGGCCCCAGAGGCTCAGTGGGACCCTCCTACGGCCACGCTGCAGCACGGGGTCCCCATCACCACCCCGTGGCGTTCCCACCCTGCAGCACAGCGCCCACCTTTGCTCTCTGTCTTGAGCTCCTCGTGCAGCAGGTCGTTCTGCCGGTTGCCGAGGACGAAGGCCAGGAAGGAGAGGATGAGGGCATTGAGGATGCCGATGATGGCCAGGATGTAAGCCCAGCGCACGGAGCAGTCGCCCAGGGAGTACTTCCCCGTCTTCTCCCCGCACATGTCCCGGATGGTCTCTGCATCCCAGCCGTCGGGGAAGATCATGCAGCCCAGCACCAGGCAGAGAGCTGTGAGGGAGAGAGCAAAGGGTGATGTGAGGGGGGAAGGGAACACCGAGACAGGGCTCTGTGTCCCAGGACCTCACAGGGTGAGCAAGAGACACCGTGGGATGCAGGGCACATCCGGCATCCCGCTGTGCCAAGAGCTCACTGGGAAAAGGCAGGGCGCAGCAACCATCTTGCATGCTCCCAGCAGCACGTCACATCCCCTGTCACAAGCAATTCCCTCTCCCCGCTTGTCCCCAGCCCACCCTGTGTCCCTGAAGAACCTCTGCACACGCTGTCAGCCCGACCTTTCCCAAACGCCGGCAGCAATGTGCTGGGAAATGCAAACAGAGGGGGGTGATGAGGGGGTTCTGCTGCCCACCCTGCACACACAGGTGCTCAGAGACCTGCTGGAAATTCTCATTTTTCACTTAAAACAGACTCTTGACCCCCCTCTCCCCACCAACCCCAGCTGTCTGCAGGGCATGCGTGCTCAGGGGATGCTCTGGACCGGGGGAATTGGTGATGCTCAGCCTTTTTTGCAGCTACAGCGTGGTTTTGTACTCAATTGTGCTCCCTTATCAGGGTCCTGTCAAATTCAACGGGCTTCGAAATCTCGGCAAGATGAATGAATTGAAGGGAATTCAGCTCTGTGACTCAGGCCGCAGGCACAGAATGGCCGTGGGCAGCAGAACACCGCGGGAGGCACACTCAGCATGTTTGGACATCACAGGCTGTCCCCAGAGTCGGCACAAAGCAGAGGATTCCCCTGCACCCACCTTCACAGATGAGCACCGAGAGACTGAGAAGTGGAAGGTAACGGTGGGAGCAACAGCAGTGGGTTGGGCCCCAGGGGCTCCTAAACCCAGCATGGGCTCCGCACCACCCCTCCCCAGGTTCAGCTGCTGCCCATCATGTGCACCCACGCTCGGGGACTCCCTGCAGCTCCAAATAACACTGCCTCCAGCACGCAGCAGCCAGGGCACCACCTCCCAGAACAGCCCCATGGCTCTCCCTGGCCTCACCACCACACCGGGGAGCCCCAGCAAGGGCAGTGGGGATGCTGGGGGCTGGGATGGCTGCTTCTCGCCAGGGATGAGTAGCAGAAGGAGAGTGAGCGCACAGCCCTGTCCTAAAAATAGCAATCCCACGGAAATCAATGGAAATGAGGGTGGCACAGGCAGGAGTGCCTCACGGCGCCGCACTCCACGGGCTGAGCCACAGAGCAGCAGGCTCAAGAATAGGGCTACGCATCGGCACGAAGCAGAGCTGACAGCTGCTTTGTCTGCGAGCACAGCAAAGGGCTGCGGGGCGAGAGCGGTGCCCAGGTGCCTGGCACTGCCCACGGGGGGGTTGGAGCCCGGGGCTGCGCAGAGCGAGGGCTGCTCCATCCCTGCTGCAGGATAGGGTTGGGGGAGAAGGGAGAGGGGAAGCCTCGGGGGAACCGTGTGGGGGGCAGAGGCTTCTCAGTCCCATGCGCCGCTGTGGGTGACAGCTCTGTGCCCTCCCCTGGCACCCAAGCGTGTGGCACGTGGGGACACCATGGGCACGGTGCTCCTTGTGTGCCCGTCCCACCAGGACACCAGTGACGTCCCCACGCTCAGTCACGTTCTGGGTTTTGTAACAGAAGGATTTAGCAAAATCTCCAGTTTTGCGCTGCTGGGATTTTGAACAGGGCAGATGGCTGCGTTTCTATTTGCGTTAAAGCAGTCTTTCCTCTTAATTAGATTCGGTTTACTCCTAGGGGGGCAGAGGCTTTTGAGCTGGGGCTTTCTACGAGGCTCTAATTAAACCTTTCCCTGATTGCTGTCCACTAATTGGACACTGAAGATTTAAACACTTTTTTTCTGGACGAGATGCTGAACTCCAGCCCCCCTCCCTGTTGTCCCATCTCAGAGGAGCCACACACTCCTGCAGCGGCCCCGTGCCAGCACTCGGCCATCCCAACCCCTCCTTTACACGTTTGTTGTGAAACCTGGGGCCTCGCTGCTGCTTCTGCATCCCCCTGCCCACATCCCAGACTGCCTTCAGGGTTGTGCCCATCGCCGCACAGCAGCTGGGTGCACAGAGCCCCTTGATTAAGCTGCTGCTGATCGGCAGGATTTGGGCTCTGAGCTTGCCTTAAACCAGTAAATCTTCAGGACAGGGAAAATTAAAGATGAAGGAATTTCCCAGTAAGCCAAGGCAGCTCTGGGCCGAGCTGCACTGGGGGAGGAGAGGTCAGGATCTCCACAAGTCGGGCCAGCTGTGAGCTCCCAGTATGAGGACAGACTCCACAGGACCCTCTCTGGAGGGAGTCACACTGGGGGCCTTCTGTTGGTAATGCAGACAGCACCGGGTTCTGCTGGTGCAAGCTCTGAGTCTGGACGTGCTCACTTAGTATGCAGCAGGCAGCATGGTTACGGTGCTCCAGATGTGGGAAAAGTGGAGAGAGAAAGAAGTGCAGACTCAGCATCACTTCTCATGGTCTGTCCTTAGAGGAGAAGCCTCTAGGAGGAGAGCCTGGGGGATCCTTGTCAATGGCCTGTCTCATTCTGGGAAAAGTTTGGGTTCTGTGCGTGGGGGGGAGTGGAGGGGGTTGAGCTTCATCTGTGGTGTCTGAAGTTCCTTTTTTTGTGGAGGGAGCTAAGGCAGACCTTAGAACAGGGCCATTTCTAAGGAGAATCTTAGAATGCTTTGAGTTGGAAGGTACCCTTAAAGGCCATCTGCTCCAACCCCCCTGCAATGAACAGGGACACCCACAGCTCCATGAGGAGCTCAGAGCCCATCCAGCCTGACCTTGGCTGTCTGCAGGGATGGGGCACCACCACCTCTCTGGGCAGCCTGTGCCAGTGCCTCGCCACACGTACTGTAAAAAACTTTTTCCTTACATCCAGTCTGAATCAAAGTAAATGCAATATCCCACTGTGTTTGGAGCTGTTCTCCAAGTCTTTTTACGGAAAGGGAAAAGTCAGCATTTCTGACCACTTCATGACGCTGAGGCAAGGGACAGGACAGCACCTTTTATAATGCCTTCACCCCCACGCCTGGTGCTGGTGTCCCATGCAGCCCCGCACACCCAAAGCCACCACCCAGCACCTGCGCCGCTGCCTGCATCCCGTGCCCAGTGCTGGGGTCCTGAGAAGCTTTGCCTGCTACTTCCCAGTGTCCCAGGGAGCCCCTTGGGCGAGGGCATCCAGGGGAGCCGCCAGTGTCCAAGTCAGTCCCTGGCTCCAGCATCTGGTTGGAACCCTGGTGCTGACAGCTTGAGAGCTCCCAATGCCAGCACCCTGGGTTCAGAGGAGCCCCCAGCTCCGGTGCCAGTGCCCTTAACACCAGCCCCCAGTGCCAGGGAAGTCCTAGCACCCATATCCAAAATATTCCAAACATGAACACCCAGTGTACGCAGAAGCCCCAGTACCTAAAGCAGCTCTGGCATCCAGCATGCACCACACGAAGTAATGCTCAGTGCCAGACCCCAGCATTCGGGGCAGCTGTGCATTGATAATCCCCAATGCTAGCACCCAGTATCCACAGAACCCTCACCACCAGCACCCAGTACCTAGGGGACAGGCTACCTTTGGTGTCAGCACCCTGATAACCCCTAACACCAGCACCCAATGCCAAGAGAAACCCTAGCATCTAGCACCAAGTATCCAAAGCACTCCAAATACCAGCACTCAATGAATGGAGAACTCCAGCACCTAGAATTGAAAGAAGCCCTAGCACAGGCATGCACCACACAGGGCAGTCTTGAAAGCCATCTCTAGCATTTAGGGAAGCATCTCTAGCATTTAGGGAAGCCCCTAGCACTGGTGTCAGTACAATGGTGAACCTCAACACCAGCATCTAGTATCCAAAGCAATTCCAACACCCAGTGCCAGCACTTAGTATCCAAAGAAGGTAGAAGTCCCAGCACTTGGTATCCAAAGAAACTCAAGCACCAGTGCCAAGGGGACCCCCTAGCTTTGATGCCAGTGCCTTGGCCACCCCTCACACCAGCACGCAGTGCATAGAGAAGCCCCTAACACGGGTGTCAATGCCCTGACCCCTCCCAGCCCCATCACCCACCACATGGAGAACCTCCAGCAGCCAGTACCCAAAACACTCCAAACCCCAGCACTCAGTATCCAAAGAATCCCCCAAACCAGCATGCATGTGGGGCAGTGTCCAACACTGGTGCCAGTGCTTCGGAAAGCCCCCCCACCGGCACCTTCATAGCTTGTGTTACGAAGCACAAGCACCAGCACCCAGCGTCTAGGAGACCGTCAAACTCTAGTGCCAGTGTCCCGACAACCCCTACACCGGTACCCAGTGCCTCACTCAAGCTCTGCAACCGGTGCCTGGACGACCCCTTAGCTCTGCTGCCAGCACCCCGACACCCGAGCTCCCGACTCCCCGACTCCCCACCCCCGAGCCCCCGCCCCCCACCTGCCAGCAGCTGCATCCAGGCGCAGATCTTGTAGACGGTGGCGGTGTTGCAGAAGAAGAAGAGCGCGAAGCAGGTGATGCAGCCCAGCGTCAGCACCATGGACAGCAGCACGAAGAAGGCCGCCGCCTGGAAGGCGCCCGAGGGGATGGTGCTGAAGTCGGTGAAGGAGCCGCGGCACGCCAGCTCGCGGCCCGCCAGCCCGCTGCCCACGCAGTAGTGGAACAGCCCGAAGTAGCCGGGTTTGGGCGTGTTGACGCTGTCTCCCACCCAGTAGGGCTGGATGAACACCACCACGTTGATGATGGCGAAGCAGATGGTGAAGATGGCCCACAGCACTCCGATGGCCCGCGAGTTCCGCACGTAGTTGTCATGGTACAGCTTGGAGGCCTCCTGCGACGGCAGCATCCTGGCTGATCGGGCCGCCCCGCCCGGCGCCGGCCACCACCTGCGGCCTAAGGGAGCCCGAGGGCCGCCGGCCCCTGCGCCACCCGCGCCGCCATCTTGGCTGCCGCCTCTGCGCCCCGCGCGCGCGCTCCCGACGCCGCCGCGTGCGCGCGCCCCGCCACTGCGGAGCCCGGCCCAGCCCGACCCGCCGCGCGCCCCCGGCAGCGGGACGCCGAGACGAGCTTCGGCTCCGCCCGCCCCGGCTTCGGCCGCGCTCGGAAAGGCGTTCGGCCACGCCACGCCCCCGCCCGGCGCGGCTCGGAACTGTTCGGAGCGGTTCGGGAAGGTTCGGAATGGATCGGCCACGATCGGCGGGGCTGAGGAGCCCGAGTAAGGCGCGGCTCGACCGCGCAGCGCAGGAGGGGTTCCCGCGCAGCCCCTATCCCGATGTGCGCGTGCCTGACTGGGGCCACGGGGGAGGACTTGGGGCGGCTGCGGGACTGCGGCGGTCCGGCTACCGGCAGGGCCGTTCAGCGCCCGAACAACGGGCACGGAGCCACCGAAAGGCTCCCCGCACCCCTGCCTATGCAGGAGCTTCTCGTTAGCCACGGGCTCCGCCCGCCCATAGCGCAGCTCCCATCGCCTCCGCCCGTGTCGCGCGGCGATGACGACGGCGCCGCGCCGGAAGGGGCGTGGCACTGTGCCCGCGCCGATTGGCTGGCTCGCAGCGCGGGGCGGGCGGAAGCGTCGGCGGGCGGAAGCGGCGCCATGGGGTGGCGGCGGTGAGCGGCGCGGGCATGGCGGTGGCCCGCGGCTGCCCCCCGGCGGGCTCCGGGGACCGCGGCCTGGCCGAGCTGCTGCTGGAGTTCTCCCGCGCTCAGTACCGCGCTAAGGATGGCGGGGGCGCCGCCGCCGCCAAGGTGAGGGGCGCCGGGGGGCTGCGCGGGGGGCTCGGCGCCCGGTGCCTGAGCGGCGGGCGCTGAGCGGTGGCTGTGCGCAGGTGGAGCGGATCGAGCGTCGCTGTTTGGAGCTCTTCGGCCGCGACTACCGCTACAGCGTGATCTCCAATGCCCATGGCGAGGTCTGCGCGCACTACCCGCGGCACATCGTCCTGCTGGAGCGCGACAACGCCGCCGGCCGCGACCCGTAAGGCCCCGACCTCTGCCCCGCTTCGCTCCGTGCCCCGAGGAGCTCCCCGGGCCGCCTCCCGGCCTCTTCGGGGCTGCGGCTAATTATAGCCGCCCCATCAGTCGCTTCTTGTGCCTCGCCGCTCTCCGTGCTCTCTGCCTCCCTCGGGGAGCCTTGGCCCTGCGGCTCTGAGCGCTCCGCTCGCTCCCGCTGCTGGTGGCGCTTCCCTTTTCCCTGAGGTGTGAGGAGCTCGCGCTCAGCAGCGCGGCTGCGGGGTGCTGGCTGCGTCTTCTTGGAGGGCTGAAGTTAGAGGAATCACAGTCTGAAAAGCACCTCGGGTGAGAACCCCATGGGGGCAGGGCATAGCGAGGCAGTCTCAGCAGGTGGGTGCCCACAGCACGGATGTGAGGGCGTTCTTGGTCAGTAACCCGATGGGAGACGCTCCCAGCTTAGTGCAGTCCGAGTTAGTTGGTGTGTGTCTGGACTTTGACCCGCAAGCTCAGAAGTGCTTCCACTCCAGGCTGAGCAATATCTGCTCCCTGTGGCTGTAATGACAGCCTCTTGTTTTATATTTTAATCTCTTCCCACAGAACATAACGCAGTTTTGCAGCCTTAACTCTGATCAGGACAAGATGTGTTCAGGAGGGCAGTGGCAGTGATGTGCTTTGCGCTGTGTTGACTGCTTAATAAAACCAGTAGGTGCTGGACGGGGGCTTGGAAACAGCCACTGCTGATGTCATCTGGGAGTTTCTGTTTAAAGGTTGGACCAGATTGGAAAAGATGAAACCCCTTGATGTAGGCTGCAGAGAGGAGGGAAACTGAAATCTGAAGCTATGGACATAACTAGCAGCATCTTCAGGGGAGAGAAAGCAGCTGTTTCTGTTTTTTTCTGTCTTTGACAATGAAGGATATTGAATTTTTCTGTCAGTTTTTCAAAACGAAAGTATTTTCCTATTTTCTTCTGTGCTTTTGCAAGTCATGAATGGCCCCTATCACTTAAAATACTGATTACTTTCAAGCCTGGATTTACTTTCAAGAGGTCATGGGAATAGACTGCCCATCATCACACCTTTCCTTCTGGGTAACCTCTGTAAAAGCTTCTAAATAACTTTTCCACGAATTCTGGTTTTAGTTGCACCATTATATTCTGCGGAACGATGATGAAATACTGAACAGATGTTAACAATATAGAGAATGTTGCACTTCTTGTGTTACAGAACGCAAGAAACCTCTTCCAGTGAATGGAACAATCCCTCTAGGACCTAGTGTCTGGGGCTGCCTTTCACCTTTGTAATGTTCTTGTTCAGCTGGTAAGATCTCCTTGAAGTGTGCAAGACACTTCACACCTCTGAGAATGCCACATTTTTTGGAAGCAATTCTAGGCTGTGCGAACTCTGCTGCCCTGTGAGTTGTGCTGGTGCAGCTGTTTCTGTAGCCATGTGGGGAACTAGCAGAAAAGGGCTGTTTTAAACCCAGACCAGTTTCTGATCCTGTTCAGGCAGCTGGGGGATGAAAGGGTCTTGCTTGGCTAACCATGCTGAGATCCGGGCTGAGCTGGTGGAGGAGGTAGTGAAAGCGTGGGAGGAATATGGCTTATGTTTTCTGCTACCAACCACCACAGTGGTGTGCTCTTTGTTGTGGTGCTGCTCAGTCAGCTACAGGAAGGTAGCAGAGGGTGTCTGACAGCCAGCAGCACCTTGCTCTGTGCTCAGGGACCTCTAATGCCCCCCCCAGCAGGAGTGGGCAGCACTGCAAAGGCTTGGAAAACATTGAGATCTGCTCAGGTTTTTGTTTCCTGTCCTGTTCTTTGTGCCTGTGCTTACCTGACAACTTCCAGAGATCAGACACAGGCTGCATCTTTGGCTTCCCTGCAGGTTCGTGTGCATGTCTGTGCTCCAAACAATAGCTCTAACACTGTGTTGAAACACTTCAGTTCCAATGCTACTGTTGCTCGCCATTGAGAAACAGCTCTACTTTGGGCTTGTATAGATATACTGTTAGCAAAACAGTTGCTTAGGCATAGAAAATGCTTCCTTTGCATTTAAAAAAGGAACTCGGGCTTGGAGGTCTGATTTGGAGGGCGAGAATTAACACAGAGGTAACACAGAGACAAGGTTGCCCACTAGTATGCTCTAGAAAACCAACTTCTGAGGAAGCAATACCTGAAAATCCCAGGAGTTACAAGTTAAGATGCGTTGCATTCCTTTCACCCTTTTCTTCGCTTGGCCCCGGGAAGCCGTGATGATGTTTTCACACGGCTGTTGAAGTCAGCTCTGATTTCCAAAGTAGACGTTACTCCTACCTGTGCACCTTTGTGCCCCTTGTCCCTGTAAGAGCATTGCAGCTGTTCATCAGGGCAGATGTTTCCCCTCCCTGCGACGTCCCCACTGCTGACCTGGTGTCCCTGTCCTGCTGGCACTCGTTCCTTGCTGCTGTTCTGCCTCTCCTGGGACATGCAGTGAGTGTGCAGAGAGTGGAAGCTTCTTGGCCTGTCTGAGCTCCCGGCATTGGATTTTTGCTGAATCCCATCTTCTTAGATTTACAAGCCGTGCTATAGAGCTGTTCACACTGTTTTCTGCATTCTGCTTTCCCTCTGTATTTCCTTTTTACCGAGGAAACAAAGACAGTTGGAGCAGAATGCAAGATGCCTTTTAGTTGCGTTCATTCACTTAAAAACAACCCCAAAACGCAGGTCTGTACATCAGAACCTCTTAAAGGTTCAAAACAGATGGGGGTGGTGAAAGACGCGTGAAGCCACGCCGAGCTGCTGGCCGCCTGTTGCTGTGTGTAACTCCGTGCTCTCGGAGGAGGGCGCCCTGGGAGGGGAGCAGCTCCTGGCTGCCAGCAGCGAGCAGCTCGGGCTGTGCTAATTGGGCTCGTGCTCGTGCTGCCTGCACGCAGGCACTCGTACTGTGTGTGCAGGGTGCTGCGCTGGCATTTAGCGCTCTCCTGTCCGTGCTGTTTAAAGATTAGCTTGGCTTCACACTCTTTGCATTCCAGTAAATGTTAACACTTGTCGGAGCTGGAAGAAGCCCTTGTATGTAGGGAAACACGTGAGAAATCCTCAGCTTCCACTGTGAGTTCTGGGAATTAAGTTCTTACAAAACTGTAGGACTGGAAGGTTTTGCTTGCTGCCTCCTTGCTTCCCCCAACAGTACTTTGTGTGGTCTCCTATAAATGGATTGTTTTCCATGCTAATAGTGATTTATTTTTTTCTAATCCTTGCCTGAATGCCTGCTGCAGGTAGATTGCTTTACACTCATGCTGATTCCAAAGCCTAGAAACTTTATTTTAATTTCTAGAGTATGGTATTAATTTTTTCTTTATTTTAATAGTCACCCTTCGGTTCTTCTCCTTCTCTGTTGCTGTTCTTTCACTCACCCAAATGCACATATTGCTGTGCCCTCTCTTAATCTCCATTTGCTCAGTCACTCGGTTTTGTTACAACGTTGTCCCTGGCCATTCCTGTGAGTTTGCTGTGCCTCGCTGCACACGCGTGCACCTCATGGCTGCAGATGGCTGGAATCAGATGCTCACCTCACCCAACATCTGCTCTGCACAGCCGTGCTGATACTTCTCCATCCCACAGAGAGTTTCCCACGGTGGTTGTTGTCCCTTTGGTAAGACTTGCTATATTGATAACTTAAAGGCATCCCCAGGTCAGTGAGTTCATCTGCTGAGCTCTGCTGCTGGACAGGGATAACTGGAAATTCTTGTTCCTCTTCTGTGAGTGCATGATCACGCAGTTCTGTGTCACTGGACTTCATCTGGTTTCTGTAATGTCAGTCTGGGTGCTTCTCCAATTCCTTGTGGAAACTCCAGTTCCCCCTGCGTTGACCTCAGCTCTGGAAGGTCTGCGTCATTCAAAGGGCAGCTTGAAATCCTATCAAATTTAGGCTGATACTTGGAAAAATTATCACAATTTAAACTTGCTTCCAAAATATGTCTCCAACTCAGAACACATTTCTGTTTTACTTTAACCAGAAAAAAAACAAATAGATTTTAGTGGTTCCGTTGCAGCTGACATTAATCTAACTGCCCTACGCAACCTGCTGGCCGACGTGCAGCCCGTTGTCTAATCACCCAGCAGTGCACGTGCTCAGGTGACTACAACTACTACAGTTCACTGAGTGTTCAAACGTTGATTCTCCGTTTTATTTATTTTTGCTTGCAAAATGCAATCGTGTTGTCGAGCAGAGCAAAGCGTTCTTAGAGAAACAACCTCCTGCTTGCTGAGTTCAGAGCTGCCTTTTAAGCCCAAGGGATGGGGATCACCACCCAGGGGGTCTGCAGCTGCTTCACTGAAGGATCGGTGGGAAGGTGCTCCGTGTGCTGAACTGCATCTCTGTCCAATAGGTTTGAGAGCACCGTGCAGGTGGGCAAACTGCAGGACCTCATCAACCGAAGTAAGATGGCGAGGTGTAGAGGACGATTTGTCTGCCCAGTCATTCTGTACAAGGGAAAGGTAAAGCTTCGTGGGTTACCTGTCTTAACTTAGAAAATGACCTTTCTCTGTGCCATTTGAACTGTGCAGCCACGTCTTCAGTCAGTTGTCACCTTTACTAATGCTGTAAAAATCTAATCTTAGCTACAGGCAGGCAGCCTGTAGTGGTAAGTAATATTTGCTGTCTAGGCTGCATAAATCATAAGTGGGGACTTGAGGCTGTCATGCTCCACCCTGTCACAAACACTGCACCAAGGATCTAATGTTTTTCTGTATATGTGCTCCTTCTGAAGGACCAAAGTTATTTGGCCTTTGAGAGGGGAAGGACAGCTGTTGTCACTTCCTGCCCCTTCCTCTTTCCAGCAGCGAGCTCCCTTTGAATAACTTTTATCCCTGAAGAGAAGTTCCCCTTTAATGTTCCCTGGGGAGGCAAGATTGCATAAACGGTCTTATGAATGTGTGGGCTTTGCCTGCAAGGGGATCTGTAAGGAAGTAAAATCAGATTTGTTTTCATGTGGATTATTTAAACTGTTCTGAAGCTCTGTAGGAGTAGTCTTGTTTAGAATTTAAGTAATTTAATTCAATTTTCTCAGTTAAGTTTAGATACTCTGTATGAATAGCAAAACCATACCTGTGGCAACATTAATCTGGCTTTGCTGAAGCCTTCGTGGGCTGAACCTGCTGACCTTTTCCAGCAGAAGTGAACTGCCTGGGGTTGTAGTGGGACCAGCTGCAATTTTATCAACAGGAGTGTGGAAGGTGAAGTTCAAGGAGCATTAACAGAGCATAGGTGTTGCTAATTTTAGCAGGAATTAGCGCATTGAAAAGTGGAGATGGAAAAAGCAGCAGAAAAGCAAGCTACAGATAAAGACAATTTGGGAGTCTTACGTGTTTGGGGAGTTTGATCTGGATCAGGGCTGCGGGGGAGACTGCAGAGAGGCAGATCTGTGGGTACCGGCCGTGTCTGTGGAACGTGGCAGCACATGGGCCAGGGACTGGGTGTGGGGAAGCTCTTGGGCTGCACGTGGTTAACAGTGACATCTTCCTCCAGCATATTTGCAGATCAGCGACACTGGCTGGCTGGGGAGAGCTCTACGGGCGCACTGGTTACAACTACATCTTCTCAGGTCAGTGAGGAGCCGTGTGTCACTGGCTGCTGATTAGGCTTCTCAGTGCTGGGAAACAGGGCATGAGGCCGGTCTGGTTGGGAGAACAGGTGCAGAACTCTGTCATGGACCAGCTTGTGGCAGGCCTGAACTGATAGGGCGAACTCTGAAATCTGTTTCCAAGCACCATAGCACAGGACAGAGTGCTGTACTCATAGTGCAAGAGGAAGTAGCTGAAGAACTTGAAGCTGAAGAGTGCATTGCAGGAACAGCAGCAGAGTAGGCAAGTAAGGCAACCCAAAGCATTCAGGGTACTGATTCCTGAGTGCTGATTCCCAGGTGCTGAGAGTGGGAACAAATAAGACTTTGCTATTGCTAGATAGTCATTGGGAATCAAATCCTCCTACTGGGTGCTATGGAGAACTCCTCAGGAGAGTGTTGGGCGTCTGTAGTATAGGCTCTGGAGCTTGGTTTGGCAAAGATCTGTGTAGCACCATCAGGGTGTCCTTCTGGCTGTCACGTGTTTGACCTGCTTAGGTCTTTTGCAAGGATAAAGGAAGGATGGGCTACATTACAGAACATGCCCTTCAGGAGGGAGAAATGGGGAGAATTGTTGAGAGAGACATGGAGAGATGGTGCCAATCCATGATGTTTTCAGACACCGTATGCCTGTAGAGCTGGAGATTGTTGGTTTACACAAGTCTCATTTCTTAATGCCTTCCTTGCAGGGGGTTCTGACGATGCTTGGGCAGACGCAGAGGACATTTCAGAGGAAGATTCTGCACTGAGGTTTGTATGCATCACTGACATGAGTTCATTCCTTGCTTTTGAAAAAAACTTGAATGCTAGTAGCTGGCTGAATCCATATGACTGGTGCTTGCTAATCTGCTGCCAGAGGAGGAGTCAGAGACAGAAAGATACAGGGCCATTTAAAAGAAGTTTGAACTACACAGGATTTTTACTTCACAATAAAAATTAGATCTCCAAGGTGAAGAAAATATTCTGCATCTTACTTGCTTGTTGCAGAACAAAGCAAGATATGAGGAAGGAGACCCTAAGCACTAACTTTGCAGTATCAGCTCAGTGCAGAATCTGACTCTCACCTGTGGAGACAAGGCTTTTCCTGTGGGCCTTTTTGACTAGAAGCAGTTCAGGAAAGAACTACAGCAGTATCACACAGGCAGTGGTCAGTCTTCCTTGCTGATCTCACTTTGCCTTGTTCTGTTCACAGAAATGCAGACTCCCAGCTGTTTGACAAGGTCAGAGGACATGACATCAAGCTGCTTCGGTATCTCTCTGTCCGATATATCTGTGATCTGATGGTGGAAAACAAGAAGGTGAAGTTTGGCTTGAAGTGAGTCTGGATTTGCTTGTTTTTCTACAGGCTTTGAGTTGCAGCTAGCAGCCCTTGGGGAGTTGTTACGGGGCACACACTCAGCAGCCTAGGAGCAGTCACCAGAAGGGCAGTGCAGGAGGATCTGCTGGCCAGTGCTGTAGAGAGAAGCCCAAGGTTTTATTCCAGAGAGGGCTGTATCAGTGAGCAAAATAACTACTTTCACCCATCCTCTGCAGTCTGAATAGGCTTTCTCTGCAGAGCTTGAGGTAATTTTACAACTGCTTCTCAGAAAGGGGAGAGTTAAAGGAGCGCTCTGCTTGTGTGTAAGAGTAGGTAGAGATGTTTTGCCTGGTGTTTCCCTTGAAAGAAAGCTGTGATGTTTTGGGGCTGCACCTGTTGATCTGAATGTGTTGCATAAGTTCTGCCCCTGCCGGCTCCTGAGCCATTGTGTGGGGTGGTGCAGCAGGTACCTTCTGGATGCTGCAGCTCCTCAGCAAATACAGTACAAATGTCTGCTGTTTTCCTCTCGTCCTGTGCAGTGTGACGTCTTCTGAGAAGGTGGACAAAGCTCAACGTTACGCTGATTTCACGCTTCTCTCCATCCCATATCCAGGTACAGGACTGATGTCCAGAGGGACTCCCAAGGGACAGGTGACAATCTGCTTCTGGGGACTGGGAACTACTTGTGTGTGTGGTGGGATGACTGAGGCTTGCTTAATGTTTCCTTTGTTCGCTCTGGAGAGGATCTCTTTTAAACAGAATGGTACGTTGAATCCGGGTGGTGTGGAAGTGTGAGTCTGCATCGGGCAGACATCGGGGCGGCAGAAGAGTTTCTTAGTGTTTCTGATGAATTGAAGCACAGAGAAAAAGTCTGAATGCTAGAGCTGAGGTTAAGATGGCCTTTGACTCCAACCTGCTATGTGATGCAAAACATGGCACAAAGCAAGCTATATATAAAAACAACAATTCTTAGGAATTTTTCCTAGCTTTAGTGCTTCCAGAGAGCCTCTGTAATATGTTCTCAATGCTAGGCATAGCAGTTAACCTGAGCCTGTAGTCTGTGACTGGGATGTGAACCACTCCAGTCCATCTCCCTGGCTAGATCAGTCCCTGTGCCTGGCAGCCACTGCTGGGTCGCTTGCTGCACTCTTAAAGATGAGCTGAATACTGCTGGCTGGCTGCTGCTCCCAGGCTCAGTAATGTGATTGGATATGAGGTTGCTGTGTTTGAAGTCTGTCTGTGAGATAGAATTTTTCTTCCTCGCGCACAGAGGAGAAGGGGGGTGAAAAAAGGAAAGTGGTTATGCATGATCCAAACCCACACCTTTCCTATATGACTTGTTGCTCTTCAGCACCCAGGAGGTGGAGTACGTGGAAAGAGGTGTATTTTTTTAATATAGAAATTAGTGACAACTGGAGAAGCTGCCTTAAGATTTCTGTTGAAGTTTCCTTACAGATGGCAGAGGTGTACAGAAATGAGTATTTCTGATTTCTGTAGCACATGCCATAGGTGTGTATCACTGCCATTTGTCTTGCTAAATGCAGATCACAGGAGAGACAGTGAGCACTGATTCTTTGCATTTGTAAGGAATGAGGAGACAGTAATTCCATAAAATAAGCTGTGGAATTTTTACTGTGTGGGGATCTGCTTAGTGCACTCTTCTGGGACAGCCGCTGTCCCTTAGTGGCTCTTCAGTGCTGCACTAGAGATAAACCTTATCGAACTGGAAACTCCCTGCTGGTGTTGCCTGATTTTAGCAGTGCTTTTCCAGGGGAGAATACTGTCATTCTGTTGAATCTGAGTCATACACATCTACAGATCAGGAACCCCTCTGGTACCTGGCAAAATGCAGTGGTATCACATGGTGGTATGTTCTTGCTAATGTTTCCAGGTTTGCATTGGAAAAGATTATCTCTGAGATTGTGAGATTCTCTTATCGTAGATGAATAAACAAGTGTGCAAACGTAAGCTAGGGTGAAAGATTTAGGTTAAAACAGGGTATCTGTGGAAGCTTATGTGCTCTCCAGTGCAAAAGCCCTCCTTTCCATCTGACTGGTAGTTGGCACTTGTGGGTGCCAACGCTTACTGCTATAATCCCTCGTTCTTTGCTTTAAGCCTGTGTTTAATTGGAGTTAAATCTCAACTGACAGTTTGACTGGCTGTGTGGTCTCTAAAACTGGTCTTGTCCTTCCACATACCTGCTTTTCACCACTGAAGTTACTTATGACTTGCAGACTAGGAATTGTTGCTTGTGCATGCACAGGGCTGTCTTGGTGATGTGGGAACTGTGAAGCTTCCATTGCATACACAGTATCTCAGGAGAGGAGTTTTGTGTAGCCTGCAGGCATCCGCAGTGCTAATAGTGTTGCTCAGCTGTGACTAAGTGACTGCAGTTTGCAGCAGCGACTTCAAATAGTTGTTTGAGAAAAACAGGAGACAGAGGACAGAAACTTCAGGAGGAGAGGGCTTGGAAGTTGTTGTGTAGCTATGCTTCCTTCATATACAGCAATTCTGGTGTTTGAAAGGGGAGGCTTAAATGTGACAGAAGCCACGGCTTCCTCTGACAGAGCCCTTTCTTGTTACCTGCAGCAGATGTTGTGTGAAGCTTGGCTTTCCCCAGGCCCTGCCAGCACATCTTTTGTTGATTGTTTCTCACCTGGGGTGCCGGGCTGATGCCTCAGATCTGCACAAGAGTCAGTGGCCCTGGGAAGCGTGGGTCCTGGATGAAACCTGTTATTTGAGAAACAATAAACCAGTCCCTCAGACTCCACATTGCTGTGCCTTTGGAGTTTGCTCTTTGCTGTCTGAGTGTGCTTACTGCTGAGTGCTCTGAGCTGTTGCTGCTGGGAGGCCATGCTGTACTGATTACTGCTCTTCACTTCCCACAGGCAGCACTTTTGGTTCTGTGCTCTGGAGCCCAGGGCTGCCAGCACTTCCAGTCCCACAGGGCCCAGATATCAGTTAGCTGAACGGTTGCTCGTTATCTCTTGTCTTGCAGGTTGTGAATTTTTTAAGGAGTACAAAGACCGGGATTATACAGCTGAAGGTCTCATATTTAACTGGAAACAGGTACAAAATGCTGAGCTGTGGGCTTTACTGACCTCTTAAGCCTTGGTTGTTCTTTTTTTTTTCTTTCAAATCCTGTTGTGTTTTTTTTTCTCTCTAATTGTTTATTTGTTCTAGGATTATGTAGATGCTCCATTAAGTATCCCAGCGTCTGTGACCCAATCTCTCAGTATTGACTGGAGTGAGTACCAGGTGAGGAAAGTAGGCATCTCTGTGGGAGGTCAGAGATTTAATCAGGAAGGATCATTAAAGATCTGAAGTCTGTCTTGTTGCCGTCTCAGTAATCTGGTTTATTCCATATCATCCCAGTGGGAGTGAGGCTGCAGACTTGATTGTTCAGAATAGCAGTGGAAATCCTCTCCCCAAAAGCTCTGTGGCTTGGCATGTCCCAAGGCAGTTAACACTAACATCAAGTCTGTTTCTGTAGCTTGTGTAAGCTAGCAGTCCATTAGGGAGATAAGGCAAGGAATGTGCCAGGAAACTAAAAGCAGTATTGCTTCTTAGCAGTCTTAGCACATGCCTGCAGTAGGCAGACTTTCTTGGCTATGGAGCCACTGAAGAAAGGTCGACTTTCCCTTATGTGAGTAGTAGCCACAATAACTAGGCACCTTCTTAGTGAATATGCTATGTGTTTGTCCTACTGCAGCAAAGGAGAGAATCGTAACTGAGCACAGTGTGTCTCCATCACTTATTGCTGCCACAGCATCACTGCTGGCAATTAACTCCTCTATGTTTGTCCTGGTTCCCACAAGGGAACATCACCTTGTATCGATCGGTGCGTGCCATTTCACACAGCAGTGGGCCTGCCAGTCCCCCAGCTTTTGAGACAACAGGCCGTGTGCTGCTCTGCAGCTGGAAGCACCACAGGATCAGCAGAACTCCAAATGCTGGGGCACTGTTTGTCTGTCAGCATGAAAATAATTCCTGAGTGCCAGCATAAGCAGAATCACAGAGAAAGTAGCTTGCAGTGTTGAAGCAGAACTAATGGGACCTCAGCTTGTTTATGACTAGAAAGTTGTTCAATAAAATACTGAGCAGCCAGTATTTTAGAAAGGATATTAATAATTGAAGAGGGCGTAAGAAACAGATGCAGAAATGAAATGATCTGAGGATTGGAGGTGCTTCACTTAAGGCTAAAGTTCTTGGTCTGTTCAGCTAATCACAGGGGTGATGGGAATTGACTTGATTAATGTGTAAGTACATTTACAGGAAGAAAATACACATTCTAAAGCAACCTTCAATCTAGGGAAGAAAAGCTGTGCAAGATGCAAAATCTCAAGTCATACAAATGAGGAAGAGCAGTCTTGAATGTTATTTGTGAAGATTTCTGTCAGAACAGGGTGCTCAAGGTGTGATGAACTGCGATCCCCAGACTGGGTGTTTGTTGGGCAGTGCTGCTGCTTCAGGAGTAGATGAAAGCAAGTTTCTGGCTTGCAGTGTAGAGGGATAAAAGAGATAAAGGAGCGATTCCTTCAGGCAAAAGCTCAAGGTTGGGTCCAATTGGGCAGATAAGACCTTAGAAGTATGTGTTTTCTGCTCTGGGTTTCGTGTGTGTCCCATTTCCCTACTGTTCTTGTTGCATAGGATGTAGAGCAGGGTAGTATGTTCTTCCTAGCAGAAGTTACAGGTGTGGTTGCACAACGTGCATGCACACAGCAAGGTGTTCTGTTGCTGGGGGTCGACATCTCTTCCCCCAGTAACACTGTCCTAATGAAACGTTTGTCCCTCTCCTTGTCTTTTTCTTGCTCATGCCATCCCATGTTCCTTGATTGAGTTCTGGCTTTGATCAGACTGCTAAAATTCCCTGCGTCTTCTCACTGCAGTGCTCGCAGGTGGCATGCTTGAGCATCTTCTGATGTGCTCCACCTTTTTTTCTTGTAGTGCTGGAGGTCTTTGAGTTCAGAGCCCCTCTGTGATGTTGCTGCCACTTGGATGTTTCTGCAGAAGCCCAGTGCCTGCCTGGAGCAGCCTGCAGCAGTCAGTCAGAGAATTCGGGATGAAGTGCTCAGGTTGTGGGGCTGGGCTGCTGATCTTGTTCTGCTCACCCTGTCTTTCTCCCTGCATTGCACACACAGCTGTAACATGGCTGCCAAAGCTTTTTGTTAAGTGCACACGTGTGGGGGCAGAACTGGGTCAGCACTCCGTGGGTGTTTACCGGCTCGCTTCAGTCTGAGCACGGTCTGCTTGGAGCTTTGGGGCTGCAGGCAAACAGGCTATGTGCCAGTCACACAGATAGTAATGATAGCTTTTAATTGTTTTAATTTTTTTATATTCCTGCCAGACCAGAGCACCTTTTACAGAGGTTGGGTGGGAGTGGTTAGAGGACCAAGGGGAAACTCGTCACTCCAGCAAATGGAGTTATTTCTCTGGTAGACAAACAAGGAGTATGGCAAGCTCTAAACCACAGAACAACCTCCTGCTTATCTTCAACATTTCTTTTCCTCCACAGAGCTGGGACCTCGTACAGCAGACGCAGAACTACCTGAAGCTGCTGATCTCTATCATCAATAGTGATGGTAAGGCAAACTCCTTTCTCCCAGCAGTCCAGCTGGAGCAGTTGCTTTCTCCAGAAGATCAGCTGATAGTGCAGCTGTGGGTCAGTTCCCAGTACCAGAGTCCCTTCATGGAAAGCTTCACTTCTCTCTCTTCAAAAGAGGGTGATGGTCCTCACACCTCAGCACTCCAGCTTTCTTCTTAAAGAGATGTTTGCTGATCTCTTGAAGATTCCACAGAGCAGGAAGGATGTCTCAAAACTAAAGTTTTTCTGATTTAAAGCTGAATAGAAAAATGCCTGCTCCTTTCCTTGTTGCTTCTCAGTTGTTATTTTTTTGGACCACCTGTGTTTTATCTCCCCAGTCTGAAGTCTCATGAGGCAGCTATTCTGGAGTTCCTTTCATCTTTTGTCACTGCAGTCACGCCAGCCTTTTGAAGGGGACGTATTGCCATAAGTTGCTGTCCCATTCCCTGTGGACATACAGTGACTTTATAAAGTCAGCACTGTTGGTCAGATAGAGCCATGGCTGTTCTGCCTGCCCAGCCCAATGCAGACTCTCCTGCAGACTGGGACACACTGCTGGGACTTTCTCTCTGGAGAGCAGTGGAGTGGTGCCCAGTGTTTGCCTCTGCTCAGTTTGTATCAGTCAAAAAGGCCGATAAGACTGAGAGTGAGTGTTCAGTTGGAGCAGTATCTCTGATATGGGGATAGATTGTGATAGTGGTTTGTAATTGGGTGAGTATATGCTCTGGGCAGCAACATGATGTTCATACCTAGTGACTTCATGTCCTGAGCAGCTGTCAGAAACAGGACAATCCGTCAGCCAAGGTTGCTGACAACCCAGGAAGCTCTGTGCAGGTTTGTTGGCTGCCCTGTTCAAGACAAAATGTTCTGACTTGGTGACTTAGCTCTGTTTTTGAGCTCAGGTTGTGGGGACGGAGAGTAGCTTGTCACTACAGATCTGCCAGAAAGAAAAGTAATTACTCTTGTTATAACATCCATTTGTTTCCTCTCCTTTCTGCTCCCACCTGGACCAGATGACAGCGGGCTCCTGGTGCACTGTATATCCGGCTGGGATCGAACTCCTCTCTTCATCTCCTTACTGCGCCTCTCCTTATGGGCTGTGAGTACCCAGCTGATCTTGTAGGCCTGATTATTTGGAGGGTGAGTGGCAGTGTCACACAGAAAAAAACTGGTGGGAGCAGTTAAGGTTCCTTTTAGTTATCTTGGCTTCAGAGAGTGTGTGGACTGGCTTTGATGTGGAGTCCCACACACAGTCCTGCCATCAGACTCACTATCACAGGCAGGTAGAACAAGGTATTTGCAGCTTTGCTCAGGGGATTCTTTGTCCTGAAGACTGCCAAGATTGTCAGGGTTTGGAACCCTGTGTGCAGTAACCAGGAGGGTGTCTGTCTCATTCTGCAGGAAGAGCAGAGCAGGCTGAGCTGCTTGTTTTGCCACAAGAGTTTTCTGTAGATCACACACACTCAAATCCCAGTCTCCAGAATTGCTGCTTGAAGACTGCCTCTCATTTGCTTCACAGGATGGACTGATCCATGTGTCCCTGGAGCCATCTGAGATTCTCTACCTGACGGTGGCCTATGACTGGTTTCTCTTTGGGTAGGCACACTAAGGATGACATCCATAAGCAAACTTGTGCTCCTCTGCTAATCCTGGTTTCTGGGTGTGTGAGTGACCTCTCATCTTTGTTCTCCCTCCAGGCACATGTTAGTCGATCGACTCAATAAGGGAGAAGAGGTGAGTGTCTCATCTGGAACAGTACCTGAACTTTCTGTTCTGAGGGTACTTGTTTATGATAGCAGTGTTCGTTGCCTGCTTCTTGATAACGTCAGTAGTTTGATTGGGCTTCAAAAGGACTTTTGAGGTGCTGGAGATGCGAGGTCAGAGCCTTGCCTGTACTTCTTGATGCGTAAGCTGTGAGAATGTGTCTTTAGGACCACAGTTTGGTTGGTTGGTGTCAGTCCTCCTGGTTCCACACTTCAGCTATTGGTGTTTAGGCTCCTGGTAAAGGAGTGCCAGGACTTGCTCAGCAACAAGAAGGGAGTCCTAAGACTCCTGGAAGTTTGTAGTCTTGTGTGTTAGTCCTGAATGCCTGCCCTCCTGCCTGGGTGCTGCTCATGGCAGATGTGCTATCACAGATGCATGGAGTTGCTTGTGCTGGTTCTAGGATGTGTATCTGAAGTTGCTCAGGTGTACGAGAAGGCCAGGATGGAATGTTGGCAGCCCTTTGCAGTTTGGTAGCTCCAGATTCCTTGCTATCTCCCTCCTGCCAGCATCTCCTCACCAAGATAAGAGGCTGCATGGAGCCTAGGCTCATTTCTGAACTGCTGTTCTCTCTCTCTTTGCTTAGATTTTCTTTTTCTGCTTCAATTTTCTGAAGCACATCACGTCTGAGGAGTTCTCTGGTGTGAAGTCACAGAGGTAAGGAGCCTGTGCTTGATGCTGCATGGGCTGCAGAGCCAAGGAGCTCGTTAATGCTGTTCCTTTGGGGAGATGGAAGCCCTGGTGTCCTGGCCCAGTTTTCCTTAATTTATTCAGCACTCTGAAGGCTGCAAAATGGGGCCGAGGCTTGTGAGGTGCCACGTTGTGCTCTGAAAAACTGCCCATGCTGAAATGTGCTTCTACTTAATGACTATCTGGCTGCTTTAGCATGGATGGACCAAAAGATGTGCACACTGTCCAGCACTGCTGGGGGGAGTGGGGTGGCTGGTTTTTAAGAGGCTGCTAAGCATTAACCTCTTCCTAGTTCAGGAGAGGCAAGAAGAAGCAAGCTGTGCCCTGCAGAAGTCTGCTGGCTCTGAATTAGCACGTGACTGCCTGCAGCCTGTTGCCAGCCTGTCAAAGCACAGGGTGTGTGGGCTGGGACTGTTAGGAAGTGCTGCACACCAGCCCCAGCCCCTCTCCTTTGCCCCTGTGCAGCTGATGTCCTTCCCGCTGCTATGTGCAGCAGAGATGGGCTATGGCTATGGCCAGCCTCCACACAGCACTGGAACATGGCTGAAGTAACCCTGACTTTTTCTTCCCCAGAAGGAAGAGTTTGCCACCTGGCTTCACCTTGGAAGAGATCTGCATGCTCAGTGAGTGCTTCTGCTGAGCATCAGTGCCCTGTGGTGCTGGTAATGGTTGATCACTTGGGGCTTGGGTTGCCAGCAACAGGGTGACTACAGATGGGTATGCTTCCCTTTGGCCTTGCTAGCATTAGGCCCTCAGGGCAAACAGAAAGAGTATTGCTTTAGGGAAGGGAGAGTAAGTGACACCAGGCTGGTTTTCAGGTAGTTCTGTTTGCTTTTTCCTAGAGCAGAGAGACCGAGGAAGCACCACGAGTCTGAGCAGCGACTTCTCCCTGGGGATGGAAAGCTCCCCTGGAGCAGCAGGGAGCTTCACATATGAAGCAGTGGAGCTGATGCCAGCGGGAGCACAGGCCCAAGCAACATGGTGAGGAAATAACCACTCAGTGGGATGCAGAACAAAAAGATCAGGCACTGAGCACTGTAGAAAAATGCTCTGAAATCCCTCACTATCCAGGTCTGTTCTCTGTGGCAGATACCCTACAATGGGAAGAGGAATTCAGTAATCAGAGCCTTTGCCACTTGGAGAACACCCCACACCCATGTCAGGGTGTCCCCAGTGAGATACAGCAGCTTTTGTTCATTTTCAGTAGCTTTGCTGTTCAACATTGTCCAGAAAGCATTTCATCACTTCTAAAAGATCATTCTGAACTACATGAAAAAATGACGTTTGGCAACAGCCTCCCCAGGGATCAGCAGAGAGACAGAAAGCTTCCTTGTCCTAAAATGAAATTTAATCTGTTGATAAAAGAGTTCATATAGGAGATGGTGCAGTTAGTGGTAGGTGGACTATGTGGCCAAGAATCCCCTCAAAACTTAAATCCCTCAACCTACAAAGTGTGTGAGATGGAAACAGGTTGCTTCTTCAGGATACTTCTGGGAGAGGCTATGAAATGATGGGTGTTCCCTGCTGGTAGAGGGTCCTGTAGGAGTCTGCTGAGTATGCCAGTGACTGTCTGGAAGCAGGGACTGGGGAAAGTGTCTGATGGCTGCTCTGGCACGGGTGTTGTGCTTGTGGAGTTTCTGGTGCTGTTTGGGGATTTCAGAACGTTTCTGTAGATTTGCCCCTCTCAGTTTAATTTTTCTCTCCTCTCCCTCAGCACATATGAAGATGCTATTTTATATTGCAATTATTTTAAATTAAATCTGGGTTGTGCTGGAGGCAGCTGGAAATCCTCTGGGACTGAGCCTACAGCCATGCTAGTGGCAGCAGCCTTTCTAAGGCACTTTGTGAGTCAATTTATAAAACGCTGAAGCAGGGAAGAGAAATTCTTCCTGCAGAATCACAGGACAGCAATATTGCCCTCCTTCTCCCCAAACCATATTTGCCAATTTTTAATTACAGAGTCGTCTTTAACACAAAGAGCCAACCTATCCACAGCAAAAATTCTGCAGCAAGTAGAGAAGAGTTTTCCATTTGCATGTCTACAGAGTAAGAAACTAGAAGGGTTTACATTGCTCTGAACTATGCTGTGGGATGCTCAGGACACGTGGACTGGATCATGCACCAAAGCATGTGTGTGATCTTGAAAAGATGTGGCAGTGGCTAGAGCACACTGCAGGACATCCCATCTTACTTGTATGTATCAGGGCTTGATTTTGTGATGCATTGTGAGCCCTGCACAAGTGGTAGTGAGGGAGCTAGGCATGGATGTCTTGCTGCAGCCTGTTGGGGCTGGGTAATCTGGAGAGCAAGCAGAACTTATACAAACATTGTCATTGGTAGGGAGTTGGGCTGTGCATAGCTAAGAGGGATGTACATCTTTGTACTGAAAAAAGTGGGCTCAAGGCCTGCTTGCACAGAGAGGCATTTGTTTTTTAGCTTTACAAACCTGACTGCCGGCTGTGCTTGGAGATGTTGGCAGCTATGATAACGTGAGATGAATAATGCTTGAGAGAGTCTGTGGTGTGATATTTGAGGGTGGACACACTTCAAGAAGTGAAGGGAGGATATCATGCTTCCCACTGTATGATGAGCCTGTCTTTAGCTGCACTTGCTGACAGTTCTTGATCTCAGTGAAAGCTCAGGGGCCCTTTTCAGGAAGAACTGTATCTTCTCTTTGTGTTAATTTGCCTTGGTTTTTTCCTATTTACTTGTGTGCATAGCAATATCTTTGCCCATTTCACTGCCCTTTTGAAAGGGGAAACGTTCTTGGGACTTCTCCAGGAAAAAAAAAACTAATGTAAAAAAGAGAACCTCCTGAATGTGGAGCAACAGTGATGTGAATTAGTTTCAAATAGGTGTGTTTGTTTAGCATGTAGCTGGACAGTAATGTGAGCTAAGATCTGATGCAGCAGTGGACAGCAAATTGTGCACAAGAGCAAATGCATTGGCTGGAAGAGAAAACAAAATTGTGGGCTGTTCTCACCAAGAGGGAGAAAACTGAAATGTACCTGCATCTGGAGAGGAAAATAACACTGGTGTAGCGTCCCTGCAACCCTCATCAGTAGGCAACAACACCCACCTGTCTGGGCTCCTCGGCTGGTACACTTTGTAGAGTTTAGAACAGAATGAAATGGTCTTTCCCTGCTGGGAGGCCCCTTGTTTGAGGTGTTTTTACAGCTAGACTAAACAAAGTGCTCGCAGTATGTGTGTGGGCTGATGTATTCTCCTGTCTCTGATTTGCAGGTCACGTGGATGGTGATCTGTAAAAGAACAGGTTAGAAGGGGTTGAGCTCACTGTACCCCTGTCACTGTGCAACCTGTGACTCCTTGAGAGGAGGGCAGGTTCGGGGGAAACATGAGTTTGTAGCTGCCGGTTGAAATGTGGCCTGTTGTGGAAACGATTCCCACTTGACAAATGTGAGAAAGCCAGCTTTCTCAACCAGATCTTCTGTCCTGCAGGAGGAAGAGCAGTGCGTCATCACCTCAGGCCGTGCTCTGGAGCAGGGCACAGCAGTCTGAAGACAGACTGCCTTCTGCAGGGATGGTTGAAGTCAAGTCCTCCAGCTCCTCCTCATCAACCCATTCTGATAACTTTCTGAGGATTGGAAGCAGCCCACTGGAGGTGCCCAGATCCAGGTGAGATGGGATGAAACAGAGCATTTCTCGGCAAAACAAAAGCTGGGTAAAGAGTGCTCGACTGCCTGCGTACAGTTCTGAGAACCACGGAGCAGATGGGTTTGTATAAACAATCAGGCTTCAGGAGGCCTGTTCTTGGTGAGCTTGAACTTGTGGGAAATGCTTGCCACCTAATACCAAGCCCTGCCTCAGCCCATCTAGAGGAGTGAGGAACTGTGCCAATAACAACTGGGTGTTTGTTCTGCCTGTCCTTACACCTGCCTCAATTCCACAAGGTCTGGCTTCTCTGCATTCTGCATGCTCTCATAGTACTCCTTCTGTCAAATGCATTTACAGGGATATGCAATGGTTGCGTTTTGGGGGAAGGAAACATTTCAAGCCAAGCAGACCTTACTCTGCAGCTATCCAGGCCCCTTTTCCATTCAGCGATGTTTCTGATATTGCAGGGTGAAAAACTCTGGCTGCTGGTGGTGAGCAGGGAGGCAAGCTGTGAGTGCTGGGACAGCCCTGAGGGTCTCCTGAAAGGCCGTGTTCTGTGGTACAGCTGGGAGATGGGGACTGGACCTGGGGAGGGGTTGGGATAGCTGATCTCTAGAGATCCCTTCCAAACTCCACAATTCTGTGATTCTGGGTCTAATCTCATGCCATAACAAAGGATATCTGGCACCCTTCTGAAGTCTGCTGCTGCAGCAGGGCAAGGTAGAGTGGTGAGCTAAGCTAGGGAAGAAAGAACAGAGCCTGTGGAGCAAACACCACGCATTTAGGCCGACAGGGGATAAAGAGGCTCTTAGATAAGAGGTTGCTGTTAACAGCATCAAACGCTTGTGTTGTCTCTGCAGGTTTTCTGAAGAGTCTTTTTCTAGTGAATTCCCTTCATAATAGCCAGCAGCCACATTTTAGTACATTCTCATCACGTGGAAAATAGTGACAAACAAGTAGAGCATTGAAAATTCATATGACTGTTTACCAAGGTTCTTGATTCCAGAGCAAAATCACTGACAGTTATCATACATGACGCTAACTGTTCTCCCCAGGGAAAGAGATCAATAGGATGTTTTTCAGTTGTTGCTGGAGCCCACCTCTGCATTCTCTGTCAGATGAAACAAGTCTTCCAAGAAGAAAGCATAATACTGGAGAGAAAGCAGCTTGTCTTGCGGTCTGCTCTTGCTCATAACAGCAATGCCTCTGCTGCTTGCAGTCTCATGCCATTCCCAAGACATAGGTGGCTGCTCAGTACTGGGCTGCATAAATTGCCTGGTAGTGAGCTTGCAGCAGTGCTTTGGAAGCTGTTTATAATGCTTCAGTTGGCCTCTGCTCTGTGGGAGCGAAGGAGGGAAACAGAGTAGGCAGAACAGCACCACAGGAAAGGGCTGATCGCAATCCCTGGGGTTTGTGTTCCTGGGGCTCAGAGCTAGTAAAGCCAGTAATTAGCTTTCCTCTGGCTGTGTCTGGTTGAGGAGTTTATAAGCTTTTGGATGTTCAGTGCCTGTGGCTGTCAGGTGTTTAGAATTGGCATCCCCAGGGCTTGAGGCAGTAGGCAAGCATAGTGCAGAAGCTTGTTACTTCTCAGGCCACAGTCTCTGGGGATGACTTTTCACTCTCCCAGTGAATAACTCTGAGGAGAAGTTGCAGTATTCCCATTATAAGAGGTAAATGTGTTCTGGATTCCACTCTAAGCATTCCTTTATGACCTTTGTACTAGTTTCTGTTGCAACATAAAGTTTTTATAACCTTTCAACACAGCAAAGGTGTATCAGCCCATCCATGGTCCCTGTTGACTTTTGTGAACAAGGCAGCGTGAAGGGCTGAGCAGGGGAAAAATGTGCATAGGGTGAAACAGAGGATAAGAGGGATCCTCCTTACATGATCTGAAACCAAGAGAACAGAAGAATCCATTGTGAGGCCAAAATGGTGAAGTCAGCCGATGCACAGGTGGTAACCTGCTGGCCTCGTGCTGGCTGGAGATGGTGTACGTTTGTATGCTTTCATCTCTGGTGTCACCTGGGCTTCCTCTACTCCTCTCCATGCAGGCTAGAGGAAATGAGCCTGGAGACCCTGCTGAGAGTGGGTGGAATTGTCAAGGCAACGGCTGAACTGAGCTTCTCTTTGAAGCCAAGTCTTCTGGCACCATTGTGCTCCTTTGCCTTGTAGTCCCTTGCCAGATCAGCCCGACTCTGGTCTCTGCCCTGCCTGCCTCCTCAGGACACATAACACTGATGCAGCTTTGCTAGCTGAGGACTCGAGCAGTGCACTGCCTTGTTGAATGATGACGTGCCTTACATCTGTGTGGCCTGAGCATGGTAGGGTTTGTCTCCAAAGAGAGATCTCGCTCAGTTTGGCTGTGTCAGTCTGAATTTGCCCAGTGAACTTCATGCAGGTAACGGTTATCACAGTATCTTCAGCCACCATTTTTCATCTTGAAGGAAAACTAGAGTCCTTTTTTGTGGGGAGAAAGAGTATGTCTGTGATGGAAGGAAGAGTTAACTTCTCTCGCTCCCTGAACAATGCTGGGACTGGGATGGAAAGGCTGCAGCACAAAGACTAATCATGATGCCAAAAATACCTTTATCTCTGCAATACTGCTACAGGTTAGCACCCTAGCCTCTTAAGATGAAGAAACCACTGTACTTGACTTCCTAATCCTCTGGTTGTGTGGCCATAGCAACAAAACACTTAACCACTGCAGCAGCAGTAGAGGAAAAGTGGTTGCTTGTAAAATGCCAGCAGGCACCCTCCAGGCAGTTTGCATAAACAGCCCAGTCCATGTGCTGGCAGGCAGGGAGCTCAGCAGGGAATGAGAAGGGGAAGCGAGCTGGCCGAGAGATGAGCAGCGTGTGAGCAAGCTGCTGGGCAAGGAGCTGGGGTGTCCAAAAGGAAGGAGCTGCATGTGCCAGGTGAGCCAGTAGGAGCCAAGCCCCTCTCTTAGCTGGGGTGTGGCAGCAGCCTCCTTGTCATCCCATCCTTTGAGTCCTGCTTTTCATCCAGATGTCCTGGGTGCCCATATGTCCCTGGGTGATTCTCGTTAGGCAAAGCAGTACAAAGGCAGATTTGAAAGGCAGGCTCTCACTAGGCAGCCTTTCTAGCTTATCCCAGTGGTAAGATCAGTCTAGTGAGGGCAAACGTGCGTGAAGATGCAGCACAGATGATTTACAGTTGTTCTTGTTCTATAAACTGAGAGCTCTTAGTACAGCAGAGAGTGTGTATCAACTCAAAGTCCTTGCCTGTGAATGGGCACTGTTAGAAGCAAACACAGGACATCTTTTACAAGCCGCTAATAATCTAAGCATCCCATGACACTGCAGAAAAACCCTGTATCTGTGTCAGGGATTTGGTGTGTGTGTGCACATACTGCTAACGTGGATTAGCAGATGGATAATCTTTGGTTGAATGTGCTTTTGCTAAGTCAATTAAACAAAAGCTGTAGTACTGTAGTCTGAAGAGTTAAGCCGTGGAGGAGCTGCTTAGATCAACAGTCACAGAGAGCTCCCTTGTCGAAGGGCAGGAGGTGCTTTGGTCTGGAGAAGGTGCAGTGAACACGGAGGGGCAGAGAAGCTGCTGTTCCTCAGCTTTGGGTCTTCGGTAGTGGTGAGACTGCACGTGCACTGTGTCTTTTGCTCCCTACACCCACCTGCCCTCGGAGCTGTGTCTGCGATGCGACAGCAGTAAGACTCGGGACAACCGCAGCAGGACAGGAACTGCTTACAAGAACGTTTTCTGGATCTGTTGCAAGATGATGCCACCAAAGCAGCTTGCCAGGACGCTGGCTGGCACGTGGCTGTGCTCCAACATGGTTGTGCTCGCACAGCGCCGGGCTGCTGCAGCACCAACAGCCTGCAGATAGCCGACTGGGATCCAGGCAGGGCCGTCAGCGTGGCTCCCTGCCACCTGTTCCCACGCACAGGTGGGAAGGGCTGCCCTTTACTCCAGGTTGCCACAGTCTGCCCGCACACACGGTACCTACTTCACACTTGCATTTGAGGCACAGAGCATATGCTGGCAAATGAGCTGCTTCCTAAACAGCTCTAGGTATGTGGAAACGTGGCAGGTGAGCGGGGGCAGAACAGGGCAGGATGAGAGCCTGGCTGTTGGGTGCTTGGCACTCATCTCACTTACGTGTTAAGGAATGGAAGGATTCCTGGTTGCTGCTCTGCCTCCGGTATTGGCTCTTCTCTGGCAAACGGGTGTCCATGTGCTCTGAAATGCTCTATTTTGTGCAGCATGTTGCATGGGAAGCGCTGACCTAATTAAAAGGAATCGTTTCAGGCTAGGAATTGCCAGTTTGTGGACTGCTAAAGGTCCTTCCTTCTGTGAAAGAACAGCTTGCAGCTCATCTCTGTTTTGCTAATCTAATTTTGTTAATTTTGCACTTTTGAGGGAGTTTCTTCCCACTCGTGGACCTGAGGAGGTGGGTGTGTGAAGCTCACTTTCATTCTCTTTCTGTCTGCCATTGGATGTCTGTGGCAGATACAGCAACTTAAAGCCTTGCTGTATCTCCTCTTTGCTAACCGTGTCAGCTTTGCTGTAGCTGTCCGGCTGCTTCCCAAGCCCCTCTGTGCTATCCTTAAAGCTAGCCAGCCTCTGGCAGGGCTGTCATATGTTGCAAACCTGTTGTTCTTACAGGTTTGGGGCCCAGGCCTTTTATCCCAGTATCAGAAGCTTGCACTGAGGTACCAGTGAAGCCCTTTTTGTGTCTGCAACAAACCTTTGCAAGGAGCCTTCAGGGGTACGAACACCAGGAAGTTTTTCACCTCTGGCATTAACTAGATTGCACTGGTTAGCCTACAGATCTGGTCTTGGTCTCAAGCTCAGCTTTTAAAAAGCTCCACCACCACTGCAGCAAGCACAAGGTTTCTCATTTTGTCTCCCCGTCCTTTCTCTCCCAGCCTTCGCCCCTGCTGTTTCGAGGCTGTTTAAGGTGATTGTTGGTTGTGATGCTGCCTCAGGAGCCTCCCTTAAGAAGAAGGTGGAGATAGAAGAAAAGTGTATAATGGTGTCACAGCTCTGCTGGCTGCACTCAGATATTTAAGCAAGGAGGAGTGACCTAGACTCAATGCAGAGTTGATCACTGATAGTTTATTCACTTAATCAGGTGTTTATTCTGCTGTCTGGAACAGAGAAACCAAATCAGCTGACTTGAACTCCTAGATTCCTGTGCTGTTAGGTTAGATGCAGCTTTCTAAATGCTAGCTACCTGGAGCAGAACAGAGAAGCAGCTCATGCTGTCTGACAGTTTGGTACTGGGGGACTTCGTTTCTGAAGTCTGCTTTGGGATAGGGTTCCCTTTTCCCCTGCAGATAGGCGAGTGCTGGGAGTGTGGGAGCACACTGCTCTACAGGAAGGTGTCATACATCCAAACCAGCCCCTCTCTGCTGCGTGGCCAGCACTGAGAAGGAGCAAATGTGTTTGGGTGGTGTTTGAGCACTGCCACTTTGCACAGCTGCTTGACAGGGCCAGGGATGCTAGGAGGGGTTGGAGGGCTGCAGAGCCACCAGCCAGTCTTGTGGGAGGTATTCGATGCTTTCATCAGCCTGTCAAAGATGAGTCTGAAGAGGTGACTTGGTTCACCTCCAGGAAGTGGTGTAAGATTGGTCTGCTTCCAGCCAACAGCCATGGAAGATGGTCCAGCAGCTGCGAGCAGAAAGCAGTTGTTCATCCTCTTTATCAGAGATGTACGTGACCCATGTGAATGATACTGGACAGACACATGTCCCTGGTGCCTTGGATCACATTTTGCTCTTTTGCTTGCCACATTGGTAGAGGCACCTCCTGGTACCACACTCTCCCTTTGCAAAAAATGCAGATTTCCATTCAATTCCCTTCATCTGTATATGAAGATCCCATCCCAAGCCCATCTCCACTGCTCTGCTGTTCAGGCTCTCCACCTTCAAAACCCTTCCTTCTGCCTGGACCCAAGCCTGTCCTCTGGGCAACTTTGTACATTTCTGGTGGTAACACTGTCCTTGTCTCCTTTCCTGTACTTAAGTCTGTTGCTTATACATCTCTTCAGTGCTTTAGCTCAAATTCTTGTCATTCCACGTGTACCTAAGTTGCTCCTATTTTTCCTGTCTGTCCATCCTGCACTTAAAGCAGCAATAGTCTCTTCTTTCCACACTGAAGCAGTGTTCCTCCAGTCCTGGTGTGTTTCTCTCTGGCTTCCTGCACTGTGCTTCCAGCACTGCACTGTGCTCTGCCTTGTCTCCTCTGTTTTATCTCCCAGAGGCAGGGAGAGGGATAGATGTCAGTAAAAAGCTGCTCCGTTTGCTTTATGAATTCCTTGTATCCCAGGGAGGGTTATCCCTGTCTCATCTCTACCAGTATGTGCTGCAGCTCCAGATCCAAGGTAGGAGATGCCCTTGTTCCTACTGCAGTGTTACGTGCTCTAGAAAAAACATCTTTTTGGAAGAAAGCATTTTCTCAGTGCTAGGCACTCACAGCTGCTCTCTGAACTCACTTGGTTCACCTCACAGCCTGAGGACAAGTCAGTCAGTGCTCTGTTCTTCCCATTTCTTCCTGTGCTGCCCTTCCAGAGCCTGGACGTGAAAAAAGTGGCATTACTCAACCTGCAGCTGCAGGATCACCAGCACTGCCAGGGGAAGCTCTTGTGCAGCTCGGGGCTGTGTTTCTCAAGCTTGGATATATTGATCAGACTCACTAAATGCCAGGCTTAGATCTGGATCACAGATGGGTTTTACCCTGTGTTTCCCCGTTCTCACCGAGGCCCTCCATGCTGTAGCAGATCCTGTGGCTCTGGCTGCTCTTCTGGCCTCTCGGGGAGCAGCTGCACTGCGCCACAGCTATTCTTAGCTGTGAAGACAGCATGCGAGTACCTGGCCCAGCAGAGCTGGAGCTCTTGCACTGCTCTGTGCTCGGCACATCTCAGATAAATTATCCACAAGATCTTGGTAGTGTGTAATTGAGTAGCTCTGCCACAGGCTGTGCTTCCAGCAGTGTGTGTGCTGCTGTGCAGCAGGGCACAGTAATGGCTTGCTCCCAGAAAGCTGAGACTTCGGGGTTCCACCCAGGTGATTTTGCCCGCTGCTTGGATTTTGGAGGGACTCCTCAGGCTCACTTCTCAGCTTTCTTGTTCCCTGCTTTCCTGGTGGAAGGTTACATCCTGCAAGCCTTCTCTTAATTATGTTTCACATTCTAAAGTTGCACCTCCCCAGCACAGCCCAGCCTCCTAATCCGGGGATGGAGCTGCAGGGGGGTGGGTGCCCCAAGGCACAGGGACAGTCCTGCTCAGCGCTGGTGGTACTGCCTCTGCAGACCGTGAGTCTCTAAATCTTCCTCACCAGCAAGCCAGTCACAGCCACAGCTCTCCATCAGGCTTTGCCGTTGCCCTGGGATGCGCTCACAGCTGAAATGAGATACAGGTGGATGCTCCACATCTGTGTGGGATTTGGGGCTGCTGCATCTCGCTAAAGGGTCTCACTGTTCTGCATGGCCATCTGCTTCTCGCTAGCTTTGATCTGCCTGGCTCCTCAGGCACCTGTGCCGCTCGGTTGCCTCACCAGCTTGGCTCTCCTCACGCGATCAGAGGAAAGGCCTGGCCCGGGGCCGAGCCAGCGCTGCATGCTGCCCTGCTGCCAGAGTGCCAGCACTGCTGGCACCGGCGCTGCTGGCGGCCGTCCCCCTGGCAGCGGCGCAGCGGGAGGCGTGTGGCTGATGACCCGACTGATGGCCCCGTCTCCCTCTCTCTCTGCCCCAGATCGGCGGACCATTCTCTGCCCGGATCTTCCGTTTCCACAGACTTTGGCAGCTGGCAGATGGTGACAGGGTGTGGCAGTATTCGGGAGCAGGCAACCCTGAGCGCAGACGCCTCTCTCCCTTGCAGCTTCCCGGATGAGTTCCCTAACACTTGCCTGTAAGTGTCTACAATGCAGCGTCTCCCCAGGCTCTCCCAGCTGGCTGCAGGCGCTGGAACGTTCCCACCTGGTGCTCTGGAAGAAGCCTGGCAGCCTGTAACAAGCTGTCCCGTCTTCACTGCCTTGGTGCTTTCCGTCTGCACGTTCTCTCACTGAGCTCTGAAGGAAACCCACATCTCTTCCATCCAGCGATGGGGGGCACGATGCTTTCTGTAGGAGAAGGCTTTTCTTGCTCTTCTTTGGAGACAGTGAATTTGGGCATCCATGGAAGTGAGCGTGACAGGACAGGACTGCTTACCCTTGCTTTTGGATCTTGCTCATCTCCATCTCCCTACTGGGTTCAGGTCCTTGCTGCAGCAGGAGAGGGGCTTTAATTCCATCACCCTGCTTTGTCTGGTGGTGTTTGCAGGTGCTGCATAAGGCTGGGGCAGAGCAGCAGCCCCTACGTCGTGCAAACGGTGGGGAGGCACGCAGCCCTCCCTGCATAGAAAGTCACCTCTGCAGAAGCTTGAAAGGCAGGAGCTGTGCTTTAATTGCTGTTAGAGCAGAGCCTTGGTGTGTGCCTTCAGGCTGCAAGCTCTCAATCAAGCAGCTGAAATGGCAGCTCAGGGGCTGCCACTGGCTGGCTGCACTGGCGGCGTGCCGCTGAAGCTCACAGTCCCGTAATGGAGATCAGAGTATATACTATGGAGGTAGAGCAACATGAAAACAAATGTGTGCTGTGAGACACTGCCTGGTTTGGCTCCTCTGGGAGCTGCCTGCTATCTTGAGTAGATCCAACCAGCTGCCCCGTGCAGGGCGAGATTCACAGGGAGTGTGGGACACTCCTGCCACCAGGTTCCCTTTCTGCCTTGGCAGGGACACACTGTGCTGCTCCTGTAGTGTCTGGGCAGTGCTGGGGGAGGGGAGGGAAGCAGAAGGGACCAAGGAGCAGATGTGTGATGCAGTGACTGCTCTGTGTCCCCCAAGCCCAGCAGTGCTGCCTGGCTGCTGAGCAGCAGCCGGGAGGTAACGTCAGAATGGGGAATGTGGCAGGGAGAAGCTAGGCGCAGAAGCTACCTGGAGGCTCTTGCTGTTTGCAGTTTGGCGACTTGAGGGGTTCAAAGGGTGGGGAACAGCAGTGCTGCCTCTCCCTTGGGAGTGCAGCTGAGGCCATGAACGCCTTGCCCCATTCAGCTCTTTGCTTGGGGTGCTGGGGGTTGCGGGGCCAGGCCCAGGCTGCTAATGAGAAGGGAGTGCAAAGATGCAGCACTGAGCCTGCCCCAGCACCGCCTCCTGCTCCTGTGCTGCTCAGGAGCCTGCTGTGGCTTTATCCTGAGTGTTTGCAGCCCAGCACAATGTGAGTTTGGGGAAATTAAATTCCAATTAAGCTTCTGCTTTGCATCACAGGGCAGGGTGAGGATGTGGCACTGAGGGACGCGGTCTGTCGGTGGCCCTGCACCTCTGCACATACCACTCCATAAAACTGTCTGCGTTTTCAGCTGTCCCATAAAAGATGTGAGAGCCCAAAGCTGCAGGACCTGACTGCTGCACACCCTCTCTTACCTCCGCAGTTGCCATCAGAGATCACTGAACATGGGATATAAGCATGCCCTGCTTTCATCCAGCTTCTTTTTCATGCTGGCAGCTTTGCGAGTTCCCCATCCTAATGAGGTTGCCAACGAGCATCTTTTCATGTGTTCAGAAGCGTCGCCTTTTTTACTTCGCCCTCTGGCTTCTCTTCATTACCAGACCCTGCACAGCGGCCGGGCGGGCTGTCGCAGCAGTGCTCACTGTTTACGGGCCTCCCACCATATCCTCTCGCTGCCATTTCCAGACTGAAGCTGTTGGCTGTGGGTGGTGAACGCTTCCATTCAAATGAGCTGTGCCAATTTCGAGGCGGCCCAGGCGCTGGGGAGATGAAAGAGAATTTCTGATGGGGAGTTTTGAGCTGTGCCCTTGGGGCGACCTCTGAGGAATGCCTTCCTCTCGCTGGGAGCCGCGGCGAGGTTTGAGCCACGGCACGTGGAGCTGCTGGCTCTGAATGGCCGCACTGCTTTTTGCCGCTTCCTGGTTGGGAACGTTAAGTCCTCGCCCTGCTGCGCTCTGAGGCGGGGGCTGGGCTGAGCTGAGCTGGAGAGGAAAGTGGGATCCGAGGAAGGCACTGAGGGCTGCGTCCCGCCTGTGCACGGCTGCCTCCTGTCCCTGCTCCTTGCCAAAGCTGTTCCCTGATGTGTGCGTGAAGGGGCAGCGATGGCTGCCCGCAGCTGAGGTGGAAGTGGCTGTCCAAGCACGGCACAGGTGGCCGGGCTCCGTCTGGAAACAAGGGCAAAGCCGGCACGGGGGCTGATGTCAGCCAGCAACCACCGCGGTATCCATGCATCTAGGGTAGGGGGAGAAGCCAGGGGGCGGTGGAGAAGGAGAGCCGGGGGAAGCTGCTGGGATGCTGCAGGGGCTGAGCAGGGAGGCAGCAGCGCTGGTGCCACAGCCGGGGCGTTTCAGGGCTGGCGCTGCCTCCCTGCGAGCCCCGCACGGCCGTGGGACAGCCGCAGCGCTGACCTCCCGATTGTGTCTCCTAGGCTGGTGTCAGCGAGCGACCGCGAGTCCCGGCTGGAAGAAGTGCGTTCCGCCTTCCTGGCCAGCTACAGCCGGACCATCGGCCTGAAGGCCGTGCCCCCCAGCCCCTCGGGGGCCATCGGCGGCCTCCTCGAGCAGTTCGTGCGGGGCGTGGGACTGAGAGGCAGCAGCACGCTCTGAGAGCCGCCACGTTCCAGGACGGATGGATGGAGAACCGGGGACCCCTGGCCGAGCCGGGACCCCCGTCCTCGGGGGCACGCGGGCACAGCACCGAGCACCCGCTTGTGATTACCCTGCTCGGGGCCGGGGAGCGGCGGGGGCTCCGAGGCGGCCCCGCAGTAAAGACCTCCGTGTGCCGACCCCTGGGCTGCGTGGTGCCTGGGCTGCGGGAGGCGGGCGAGCTGGGAAGAGCCGGGGGGCGGCGGCGCGGAGGAGCCGGGAGCGGCTCCGGCGGGGGAGCCGCCCGCTATAAATAGCGCGGCCCACGCTCCGGGAGCGGCGGCACCGAAATAGCAGCGCGCCGGGGCCGAGAGCTCCTCCGGGCGGGAGTCCCGACGGGACGGGTGTCGGCATCGAGGGGTCAGCGGGGCACAGCCCGCCCCCCCCGGCGGGAACTGAGCCGGATGGCGTCTCCCCCGGCCCCGCGCGCCGGTACCCTGGTCTGAGCGTTCCCGTTCCCGGGGCGGTGCCGCCGCCGGGGCCGCCGTGCCCGTGCCCGCCCCCGGGCGCGCCCGCTTCGGCGGTGCGGGAGGAGGCGGCGCGGAGCAGCGGCGGCGCCCGCGCGGGGATGGCGGCTCCGGGAGCGCTGGAAGCGGCGGCCGGCAGCGTGCCGGGCACCAAGGTGGAACTCACCGTGTCCTGCCGGTGAGCCGGGGCGCGGGGGGGATGCGGAACGCGTGGGGAGATGCGCGGGGAGTCCCTTGTCCGCTCCGCTCCGGGAACCCCGGCTCGCCGCCTCGGGCACCCCCGTGCCCGGTGCCGGCACTGCCCCGCTCCGAGGCCGGCTCGGTGCCCGCGGGACGGGAGCACGCCGGCGGTGCCGCTCGATGCCCCCGGCCCAGAGCGGCGGCCGTAGGGGGCCGAGCGCAGCCCTGCGAGGGATCGCCCCGGAGACCCCCGGACCGGCGGGCAGGTGGGGGCGAATCACCCGTCCTGCGGGGTTGTCACCAAACTCCCGCCCTGCGGCTGTGGGGCATAGCTGGGCCGGAGGCTGCGTTCTCCCCTCGCCGTCTCCCAGCCCCACAGAGCAGCAGGTGGAAGGGCTGCGGAGCCGTGGGTACCCGCGCCTTTGGGCACGCGGCCGAGCCTCTGGCTTTGCAGCCCCTCCAGGGCTCAGCCGCGCCCAGGGCTGCTCTCCGCACTCGGGCCGGGGGAGCGGAGCCCTGCGCTGCGGGACGAGCCCGGCTGAGCCGCTGTTAACGCGCTTCCCTCTGTGCGACCGGCGCGGCGGCCGCGGGGCGATGCGCTGTGCCCCCCCGCTAAGTGTCCGCTTTCTCCTCGCTCCTGCGCTCTCCATTAGCCGCTGCCGGCGGCACCGGGGAAGGTTTCGTGCTGTAAATGGGTTCTCTGTCACGTTCAATCACTGTCAGCGCCGGAGACGCTGCTCCTCTCCGTCCCTCCGTGCCGCCCCTGCCCGGCCACCCGCCTGCCCCACGGCTGTGTGCGGCTCTCCCGCGCGGTGCCATCCCCCGACAGTCCACGCACGGGGGACACGTGAGGGGTTGGGTGCGCACAATCGCTCACTCGCAGCTCGGTCCCCCCCAGGAACCTGCTGGACATGGACACCTTCTCCAAGTCCGACCCAGGTGGGTGGCAGCGGTGGCACTTCTGGGTGCGGGCACGGCGCAGCGTGGCACGGCTCTGTCCCTCTCTCCACAGTGGTCATCCTCTTCGTGCAGGGCACGGGGAGCAGCGAGTGGAAAGAAGTGAGTGCTGCACCTCTCCCCGTTCCCCGCCGTCCCCAGTGCCCCGGCTCCTGGCTAATCCCCGGCTCGGTTAAATGGGCCCATATGGCCGCCCGCTTCCACCCTAATGATCCCTCCCTGCCGCTAATCGGGGATTAGTGCCGGGGCAGCTGCGCTGGGGAGGGATGTGGGGATGATGGGGTTGCCCTCACGGAACCGTCCCGCAGTTCGGGCGCACCGAGGTGATCGACAACACCCTGAACCCCGACTTCGTCCGCAAGTTTGTCCTCGATTACTACTTTGAGGAGAAGCAAAACCTTCGCTTTGATGTGTGAGTGCCTCGGCAGCTGGGGGTGCCGAGCCCGTGGGTAACCTGTGGGAGACCATAACAGTACAGAGCATTGCAGCACGGATGGGCAGAGGGGTCAGAAACGGGGCGAGCAGGGGTCCCAAAGCTCTGAGTGAAGACAAGGGGACGTGCCCGAATGCCAGCTCACAGCTCTGCTTTGCTACTGCCAGCTACAACGTGGACTCTAAGAGCTGCTCCATCTACAAGCAGGTGAGTGCTCCAGACACCCCAAAGCCATGTCCTGTCCGTGCTTCTGGATAGGATGGGCACCCCTGGCCTCAGGGGGCTCACCCTGCTCTTTGTCTCTCCATGCCACACTGGGTCTGGCAGAAGGTAGGCATCTGCCATGCTGGGGAACTGGTGCCTGTGGGTGTGCAGGAGGACTCCAGGATACACAGGGTGCCTCTGGAGGAATGTGACCAGGACACATTCTGGGGGATACAAGATGAGTCCAGGGTTGTGGGCTGGCCCTGGGCATACAGGACGGGGCCAGGACACAGGGTGGGTGCACAGGTTGGCTGTAGGGCTGCAGGATGAGCTCAGGGATACAGGGTGGCCTTGGGGGTGCAGGAGGGGTTGTGGGCTATGGACATGGGCTCTTACAGGGTACAAGGTGAGCTCAGGTCATCTGGGGTCCTGTGGGAAATAAGGCTGCAGGCTGGGGATGATGAGAGGGTGAGGGGGCTGCAAACAACAGCCCCCAAGGATTGAGCATGCTGTTCCTGGGTGCAGGACTTCCTGGGGCAGGCGTTCGTGGCATTGGGAGAGGTGATCGGGTCCCAGCGGGGCCGTCTGGAAAGAGCCCTCACGTGAGTCACATCCTGTGGCAGGGCTGGAGGTCCCACACTGTGCCCCTGGCCGCCCACCCCGCTTCAGGACACCCTGGTGGCCATGCTGCCCGGTGTCCCTGTGCATGGCTGGGGACACAACCGCAGCATCGGGCCTTGCGGAGCGCCCCGCATCCTGCCCCTGTGCTGTCCCCACTGTCCCCACGCTGGGCTGTTGTCACAGGGGGGTCCCAGGGAAGCGGTGTGGGACCATCCTGCTGCTGGCCGAGGAGCTGAGCAACTGCAGGGTGAGTGCTGCATCTGCACGCTACCCGAGCGTGGGGAGAGGAGCAGGCTGGTGGTAACAGTCCCCATCCCCAGGACATCGTCACCATGCAGCTGTGTGCCAACAAGCTGGACAAGAAGGACTTCTTCGGGAAATCTGACCCCTTCCTTGTCTTCTACCGCAGCAACGAGGACGGCACGTGAGCGTGGGGATGTGGGGTGCAGGTGTCCCTGCACAGCATGCCCTGACCCTGCCCCGTCCCCGCAGCTTCACCATCTGCCACAAGACGGAGGTGGTGAAGAACACACTTAACCCAGTGTGGCAGCCCTTCACCATACCCGTGCGTGCCCTCTGCAACGGTGACTACGACCGGTGAGGATGGTTCTGTGGGGCAGCCTTGACGCACCCCACGCTTTGGCCTCATCCTGCAACCCCTTGTCCAGCCCTGGATACATCTCGTATCCCCCAAAATGTGTCCTGGACACATTCCTCCAAAGCTGCCCCATATATTGTGAACCCGTTCTGCACCACAGGGCCGCTGCTGTGGTGTGTGCAATGGGGCAGCGGTAGGACAGGACACAGCATTTCCCCACAGCCAGCATGCAACTCCAACCTGGGTTCTTAGTGGTCTTTTTTTTTTTTTTTCCTTTTCCGTTTGCAACCCAAATTACAGAAAAGCTTCCCCCTCCCCAGAGCTCCACTGTGACCCAAATTTCCTGTTCCCCTCCCTGGGCATGTGGTGCCACTTTGATGGCACGCTGAGCCCTGGGCACTGTGGGCCATGCCAGCAGCTCCCCCTCAGCCCCATTTTACTTCCAGCACAGTGAAGATTGATGTGTACGACTGGGACCGGGATGGGAGGTGAGGCTGTGCCCCAAAGGGAGAGGCATCAGGGTGTTCCTCATCCCACGACACACTCAGACCTTGTGCTCCTCCTGCAGCCACGACTTCATCGGGGAGTTTGCCACCAGCTACCGGGAGCTGTCCCGTGCACAGAGCCAGTTCACAGTGTATGAGGTAGGGCAGGGGCCACAGTGGGGCAGCTTTGGGGGCGTGGGGAGCCCCACAGCAGGACCTGCCTGGTGCCCGCAGGTGCTGAACCCTAGGAAGAAGTGCAAGAAGAAGAAATATGTCAACTCCGGCACTGTGAGTGGGGCTGGGGTGCTCCTGCAGCTCGCACCCATTGCAGGGTGCCAGCTCTGATGCCCCATGCCCACAGGTGACTCTGCTCTCCTTCTCCGTCGAGTCTGAGTTCACCTTCGTTGACTACATACGGGGCGGGTGAGTGGGGCCAGGTGCCCCCAAGCTCCCGAGGGACAGGGACAGGAAGGCAGTGATGGTGACACTGCAGCCTAGGGGTGCCAAAATGGTGGCTGCAGTTGTGGGGTGGGCAGTGGGTCTGGGGGAGTGGGCAGAGGTCACGCCATGCCTAGGGCTGGCAGCCTCCTTCGCTCTCCCTCTAAGGACACAGCTGAATTTCACCGTCGCCATTGACTTCACGGCCTCCAACGGTGAGCACAGTGGTGGGAGGGACCTGGGCAGTGGCATTGGGTGGGTGCTGATGGGTGCTGTGCTGCAGGGCTGCCATCGCAGCCCACGTCGCTGCACTACGCCAGCCCCTACCAGCTGAGCGCCTACGCCTTGGCACTCAAGGCCGTCGGGGAGATCATCCAGGACTACGACAGTGACAAGCTCTTCCCTGCCTACGGCTTTGGTGCCAAGCTGCCACCCGATGGCAAGATCTCCCACCAGTTCCCCCTGGTGCGTCCTGGTGCAAGGCTGGGGTTAACCTGTTGTTGCCAGGTGTGGGGCAGCCCATGGGGCTGGGGAGCAGCCAGCCTGGCCGCATCCTACCCAGCACCATGGGAGCACCCTTCCTGTCCCCAGAACAACAACGTGGACAACCCCAGCTGTGCTGGCATCGAGGGCGTGCTCGAGTCCTACCTGCAGAGCCTGCGCACCGTGCAGCTCTATGGGCCCACCAACTTCGCCCCCGTCATCAACCAGGTGGCCGGGTGAGCGCTGTGGGGCCATCCCTGTCCCATGGCCACGC